CTTACCCCATTGTTTGGAGCTGCTTTGCTGAGTCTTGGCCACACTGCAGGTGCTGGCACTGGACCTGCTGATTGCAGTGGCCTTTTCCACACAGCCCTGGGGACAGCAACCCGGTGAGCAGGGCTGTGCATGGGAGGGCAGCACAGGGAAGCAGGGCAGGAGGCTGCTCCTTTCAATCCTTCCCCCCTGCCTTGCAGATGGACAGCCCAACACAAATGGCTCCAGATGACACAAAGCCCTGGAGCTCAGCCCTCCACACTGGCGCCCTGCAAAGAAAGTAAGTCAGATCCATACTGTAGCCTGTCGTGCTCCTAAAGGACAATGGAAGCTCCTCAAGATCCTCCTGTTCTTACCCCAAACCTCGTAGTCTGCTTTGCTGAGTCCTGACCCCACTGCAGGTGCTGGCACCACACCACCTGACTGCAGTGGCCGTGTCAACGTGGCATTGCTGACACAGTGAGCCACAAATGGCCAAGGAAACCATTTTAGAGCAGCAACCCGGTGAGCAGGGCTGTGCAGGGGAGGGCAGCACCTCTTGTACTTCCCCTCTGCCTTGCAGATGGACAGACCAACTCAAATGGCACCAGATGACCAAAACTGATGCAGCTCAGCTCACCTCCAAACTGGTGTTCATGTCCTACAAAGAAGGTAAATCAGCCCCAAACTCCAGGCTCTTGTGCTCCTAAAGGACCATGGAAGCTGAACAAGGACCCCTTGCCCCGCCTCAGTGTTTGGTGCTGCTTTGCTCAGCCCTGTTCCCTCTGCAGGTGCTGGCACCAGACCTGCTGATTGCAGTGGCCTTTCCACACAGCCCTGGGGACACAGGCAGCCCCATGGCCATGGAAACAGCTGGCACAGCAGCAACCCGGTGAGCAGGGCTGTGCAGGGCAGGGCAGCACAGGGAAGCAGGGCAGGAGGCTGCTCCTTTCTTCCTCCCTCCCCTTCTCACTTGCAGATGCACAGCCCAACAGCTCTCAGCACCTTCACTACTGCACACATCAGCGCCTCCAGGAACCACATGGATTGTGTGAAACACAGCTCTGAAGACGAGGACGGAACAAGAGGCCAACAGGGATGGATGGGCCCAATTCAGAAACACCACAGACACCACATCCAGAAGAGAAGGAAGCACCGGAACCCAGCGCTGCTGAGACCCGCATGGAAGTTGAGGAGCCACGAAGACTGGCAGCCTTCCTGCCTCCACCCCCAGACGACCAGCGAGAAGCCAGCACACAATTAAAGACTAATTGAACAACTTTCAGAATAAACTTTCTCATTCCTTACACCCGTGCTGCTTCTTCCATCTCGTGGCATCCACAGTGCAAACTTTGGGGAGCTTTCCTTATTTTCACCACCTTCTCCTGTTTATGCACCTGTGTATCATGGAATCACAGAGTGGTTTGGGTTGGAAGGACCTTGAAGCTCACCCACTCCCAACCCCTGCTGTAGGCAGGCACACCTCCCATAGCCCAGGTTGCTCACAGCCCCATCTGGCCTGGCCTTCAGTGCTTCCAGGGAGTGGGCATCCTGTCAGCTTGATGTCACCTGCAAAGTGCTCAGGATGCACTTGATCCCAATCCCTGTGTCACCCATGAGATCACTAACACTGCTCCCAGCACCCAGCCCTGAGGAGCATCACTCAGCACTGGTCTGCACCTGGACGCTGAGCTGCTGACCACAGCTCTCTGAGTGCCACCATCTAGACAGCTCCTTATCCATTATTAAAAGAAATTCTGAAGGAAAATGGAATTACATTTATTTCCTTTGTTCTTTTAAAGATACTCTTCTTTTTTCTCTTCCTTTTTGGGGAGAGTAAATGAATGGATATGAAAGATGCACGAGGTGGAGCCTAAACAACTCAAGAAGTGTTGGTAGGAGTGTAACCACTCAGGCACCGGCCTTCCTGCGTATCCAGAGGCTGCTGCAGAACTTGCTGTCCCTCACCCACATTTTGCATATGGCACTGATGCAATAGCTTACCCCAACAGAGCACCGTGCCCTTACACTGCAAATAGGGCAGCAGAGCATCTTCCTACTGTGTTACAACATCCCTGATGGTGGATGGTGGTCTGTATGCTCCTGGTTGCCACACAGGAAGTGTGCTTGCCAAACAGACTGGACTCATTCTGATAGAAACAGGTAAAATCCCCCTCCTTTTTCACACTACTGTGTCCATTTGCAGCAGTGTATGTGTCCCTAAGAACCCTTCCAAGAAAGGATTCCCAGCCTTAACAGGGGCTCAGCAGCTCTTCTTTCTATTTCGCTATTCCTAATGCGCAGCTGTGAACTGACAAGCACAGAGAGCATTTCCAGCTCACGGACATGAGCCACAAGCCCTGGGAAATCACATTCATGGTTGTAGCTTCAGCAGCATCTTTGGGATGTGGATAAAGGAAGACCTACACTTCTTCACTTCCCTCTGCACAAGGCTGTTTTCTTGGAAATACACTGATTCCTTCCAGGCACAGCACACAGTGAGGCCATTCTGGTTTCAGAGCTGCTCCTTTGACAGCGAGTGGGCAGCTCCAGACAGGCTCAACTTTAACCTTCTGCATAGTTTCCAGAGCACAGGTCTGAAGCATGTTTACACCATTCCTTGCTACGCCTGTGCCCAGGCAGTGCTCCTGGGTCTCTCTTTCTCTGTCCCCACTCCAAAGCTGTCACTGGTGCCAAGTATCCCATGCTCAGCCACAGAGAGCACATTGAGATCAGAAAACTCAGAGGAAGAGGTGTTACATCCAGATCACCCTTCACCTTTCTTTTTATAGAGATGGCTGCAGCACAGCAGGACACTTAAACCAGCCCAGGGTTCTCTGGTTGCTGCGTGACAGGGATTTGGGCAAAGCAGATGGATTTCTGAGCATTTTGAAGAGGTTGGGGGTTTGCTCATTCCAAGGTCAGAGAATTTTGGTAACCTGGAAGCAAATTGCATTGCAGTTCCATGGTGCTGCAGGTCTGATAGGCAGCTCTGGTTGTGTGCTAACGAAGTGCAAACCGATCTGTGTTAATAGGCTACAAACTTCCCACGGGGTGACCTCACACCAACTTCTGTTTCTGGGCAGCAAAAGGTTCACGTCAAACAGCGGGCAGCGTGCCTGGTCCCAAGTGGGTGCAGCAACACAGCCACCTGCTCTGCTTTTTCTGATCAGGAAAATGATAAAAAGCATTGGTACTTCTGCTCAGCTGGTTAAGAGGACATATAGACTGGATAAAGCCTCAGCTCTGTCCTCTGGGTAACTGGAGTATGGAAAAAGAAGAGCTTTAATGGTTGCACCTGGAATGGGAACAGAGCAATGTTACTACCAAGGAAGGGTGTTGGGAACAAAGAATCAACATTAAAACCAAGGAAGGGTGCTGGGAACAAAGAACCAACCTAACAACCAAGGAAGGGTGCTGGGAACAAAGCAAGAACCAACCTAACAACCAAGGAAGGGTGCTGGGAACAAGGAACCAACATCACAACTAAGAGAACCAACCTAACAACCAAGCAAGAGTGTTGGGAAGAGACTACGAACCAACATTACAACCAAGGAAGGGTGTTGGGAACAAAGAACCAGCATTACAACTGAGGAAAGGTTTTTGGAACAAGCACAAACCAACATCACAACTGAAGGTTTTGGGAACAAAGAGCCAACATTACAACTAAGGAAGGATGTCTGCACCTTTGCTGGCTGCATTTAGAACAGCTAAAAGTTCTTATTTGGAGGTGCCTTAAGTTTATGCCATAGAAGTATTTTCTCTAATTCGAAATGACAACACATCCATGCGAAATAACACTAAAATATTACTGATGCTGAATAAAATTGCTTTCAATGTATGTTTCTGATCCTTTTGGAATATTCATAAAAAAATATTTGTATGATGATTTAACGCTCTCCAGTTTTCCAAATACCCTTTTTTTCCCCCACAAGCAGACTGGGATGCTCTGAGAATGACAGTGTCTAGAGGGACTGAACTTATGCCCTGAAATCTCAGCAGTAATATATAAAATAGAATGGAGCACATGAATGCAGTAAAGGCAAAGAGGGAGGAGAAGTGAGGTCAGAAATGTGGTCCACCTACACCATGGCTATGATAAAACAGTTGTAGCTTTATGGTAGCTGTGATACAGTGTTGGATGCTGCTAAATTGAGCCAGAGCCACGGGTAATTTTCCCCGGGTTATATCAGGAGAAGGGCTGTGAGGACAAGTGCAGAGCTACTGAACTTGAGAAGGGGCAGAAGTGAAGCCCCGGCTGCTGGAGCAGTCAGACAGCAGTGACAAGTGTGGGACAGGGAAGCTGGGAATCACAGAATGGCCCGGGTTGAAAAGGACCACAGTGATCAGCTTGTTTCAACTCCCCTGCTATGTGCAGGGTCACCAACCAGCAGACCAGGCTGCCCAGAGCCACATCCAGCCTGGCTGGATGGGGCATCCACAGCCTCCTTGGGCAACCTGTTCCAGTGCCTCACCACCCTCTGGCTGAAAAACTTCCTCCTCATATCCAACCTAAACCTCCTCTGTCTCAGTTTAAAACCATTCCCCCTTGTCCTACCACTATCCACCCTTGTAAACAGCCATTCCTCTCCTGTTTATATGCTCTCTTCAAGTACTAAAAGGCCTCATTATGAGGAAATGAGGAAAGACCTCAGGAACCAGGGGTTGAGATGTGGAGAAAAAATAGCCTAGAAGCATTCACATTTTGTGAGGCTCAGCAGAACTCAGGTCCATGAGCTACTGCAGATTCACAAGAGAACCCTTTTTTGTCTCGAAACACTGCCATCTCTTTTGGCACGTTGGCCCGCTTTGCCCCCTCAGTGCTGCTTCTTCATTTTGTGTAAAAAAGAGGGAAAGCAGGGAGCCAGGCACCAGGAGGTGTCAGGATCACGCCGAGGCCAGCAGGGAGCTTTGCCAAGTGCCATGTGAGTGGCAGGGCATTGCTGACCTGCAGATGGGAGCAGCTCACATTTCGGCCCCGCTGCCACGCGCGGTGTTTGCTGAGTTGTGCGGAAACCAAACGAACCCTGATTTAGAAAGTGATGTTCTTTGTGCTGTGAACATAAATATGAGAGAGCAGTTTTCCTGCACTGCGGTGTGCCACTGACATGAGCAGAAAACATCCTGTTCTTATGGTGGCTGCGTAACACAGGGCTGGGTCCTCTCGCAACAGACGCCTCCAAGTGCTACTGCAAAGAATTGGCTGTGGCCAGCTACAGAATTCAAGAGGTTTAATCTCAGCTATATCCAAACAGGGCTTTGATAATACTCTCCCCAATCATTAATCCCTTTCAGGGGTGTGTTTCTAGCTGCTCAGCTTAGCACTGCACGGAGGAATTCAAGTAAAAATAGAATCAACACTGAACCATGGGCCTGAGGGATGTTTTGGAAGTGCACTGAAGGATGAAGTGCTCCCAGGAAGAAACAGAAACTCTTCAGAGAAAGCAAAACTTGGAAGACAGGAATGGCAGCGAGATACAGCACAAGTGGGTATGGACAGAAGGGAACACAGAGAACTCCAAAGGAGAAACACATCTGAGATTCTGCTTTGGATTTCATCTGAGGTATTTGGATGTAGAATGAGAAGTGTGCTCAATGAGCACTGAAACACACCGCAGGCTGGGTATCAGTCAGGTCAAATGCAGGGATGCTGGAAGCATGCTCTGACTGTGATGACTGATAGAGCTCCTTATTTCCATCAGGAACAAGTCAAGGGCTTTAGAACAAGGTATTAAAAAATACTCATCTGATTTACATGAGATTTAACAATGCAAAACTGCAAAAATTCATGCATTTTACCTGGGGTGCAAAGATATTTATTAACTGCAAGCAGCTTGCATGACTTCAGAGCTATTAGATCCTGCCTAATTTTGTTCTGTTTAATCAAGCAAGCTGTTTGTGATTATACAAATGTTCCTCGCAGCATTTGTTCCATAGGTCACAGTGAGGGAAATGAATACCTTTTCTGCAAGAGGTAAATAAGTAGCCCAGCTGGTGCAGGACTCAGATCCAACCAACAGCCCTGCTGTGGCTGCAAAAGAATCATGCTTAGACCGCAAAAAAAACAAGTCACCTCTTGCAACACAGAGGCACAAGTGTCACTAACACAGCCACTGATGCTGACATCTATCCTCTCTGAGAGAAGTCAGAAAGACTTACCGTGGTTTGGAAACTGCCACAACCTCAGCACTGCCAGGCAAAGAAAGAAAGGGAGAAGTGCTGGATGATTTTTAAGGCTCCTTCCAACCTAAGTCATTACTCTATGATTTAACAACTGCACTCCATCAAGTAGAACAATAAAGGAAAGGATGTCCCATACTTACTGTGGGAGGGTGGGAAGAACTGCTGAGCATTCTCATGGAAGCTTCCATCTGCTCGGGCGGGAGGAAGAAGTTGGGAACAACAGCAGGTTCAGATCTGAGCAGAGCTGTTAAGAAACAACCTTTGGTGATGGGCAACGGCACAATGCTTCACAAGAGCTGAGGACTGGGAATGTGCCTCTTGTAATAGGGGCTAATAGGTACCAGGTGATGAAACTCAACCATTTTCATCAGTATGGTATCACTTTGAATGTTTGGGTCTCTCACCTGGACTCATAAAGCACAGGTCACAAACTTGCTTTTGTAGAGAACTTCCTCCTGCAAAGATTTCAGCACAACTTAGTGACACAGAATGTGAGATTTGGAATCCGTGCAAGAAATGTGGGAGAATGTTTTAAATGCAAAATACAACATATTTCTTCTCATACAAAAGATACATAATGCCAAAACATTAAAACGTACAGGAAGACAGGTTGAAACTACCCAAAATTCAAGTTGTGCCAGATAAGGGTATAGGGTGGATATCAGGAAACACTTTGTTACAGAAAGGGTTGTTAAGCACTGGAATAGGCTCCCCTGGAGGTGGTTGAGTCACCATCCCTGGATGTGTTTGAAAACCATTTGGTTGTGCTGCTCAGGGATGTGATTTAGTGGTGGGTTGTTAGGGCAGTATGGTTAGGTTGTGATTGGACTTGATGACTTTTAAGGTTATTTCCAACCTGAGCAATTCTATGATTCTAAGAAACTGAAGTAATTATCATTCATCACTGCAAATACTGATTACAGATGGCAAGGAAGTCAGCACTACACTCCACGAAACACACTATAACAAGGATCATTGATTCTAGGCTTACTGCATAGCAAAGAGCTCCACAGAGCAAGCTTTTCATTTCAGAAGTCTATGTAACTCATAGAACACTGGCCTGGGTTGAAAAGGACCACAATGATCATCTTGTTTCAACCCCCTGCTATGTGCAGGGTTGCCAACCAGCAGACCAGGCTGCCCAGAGCCACATCCAGCCTGGCCTTGAATGCCTGCAGGGATGGGGCATCCACAGCCTCCTTGGGCAACCTGTTCCAGTGCCTCACCACCCTCTGGCTCAAAAACTTCCTCCTCATATTCAACCTGAACCGCCCCTGTCTCACTTTAAAACCATTCCCCCTTGTCCTGTCACCATCCACCCTTGTAAAGAGCCGTTCCCCCTCTGTTTATACACTCCCTTCAAGTACTGGAAGGCCACAATGAGGTCTCCCTGCAGCCTTCTCCAAGCTAAACAAGCCCACTTCCCTCAACCTTTCTTCACAGGAGAATTCTAACCAAAAGATAAGAACCTCCTTGAATGCCATGTGTGCTTAAGGAAAGAGAAGGATACAAAACCATTCTTGGTTTCTCAGACTTTCCTGTCTCTTCCAGTGGGTCTTCGTGGCTGCCCTCAGACAAGCTGCCACTGTGCCCTTCCAAGCCTGCTTGGGCAGAAACATTCTTGGCACAGACCTCATCAGAACCACTTCTTTCCTCATCTTGATGATCTTCATTCAAAACTTCACTTCTTTCCTCCTCTCTCGCTGTGGCTTTTGGAGCAGTCAGTATAATGCTTCCTGGAAATTCCAGTAGTTCCTTGGAGGCTGTGTGAAACTCTGTGTGCTGCTCTACTTGCTTAGTGTTAAGTGTTCTGTCCCAACTGTAATTTCCATTTTCTACCAGGCCGCCAACTGTCTGATGCAATTCTGACAAACAAGCAGGCTGAACCAGCTCCTTGTCAGCTGTTTCTGTGCCGTTACTCAAGCTCTTAAAGCCTTCTGCTCCTGTCCAAGGACTGCTCTGCAATGTGTGGGGGGTAACGCATGAGCTAAGAGAGGTGAGCACGCTTCTGTTGTCACCTCGTGGTGTGCTGGACAACGTGCTGCTCCGTCGGCTGCTCCCTTTCCTCAAACAGTCTATTTCCACTGAGTGCTGACCTTCAGGCTGCAAGTCTGCAGGCTGCTGGTCAGCTCCCAGCTCTACTGAGAGCACACTGGACCAGGGACTGGTTCTGTCAGTCAGCGTTGTTATTTCATTAAGAGTTCGTGGTTCTATAATGTCTTCTTCTTCGTACTCTTCTTCACTGTTTGGCTGATGGGCAAAAGCACCTCCATCTCCCTGGATGCAGTCTGCTGGATGCTCCCCTTCAGGGACAGCTTGGTCAAGCAGTTCCTGCAGCACACGTCTGCCAAGCACAGATCTCCCAAAGGAGCATGGCTGCTGCGTATCACTGCTGACACCACGTGAGTCCAAGCCCAGCTGGCCTTGATACACATCAGTCCTGTCATCTCCATCCTTCTGGCTGAGTACATGAGAAGCACCCAGCTTTCTGCTGCTGTCTTGATCCACGTTAGAAGAGTCTTTAGTATTGTTTGTGATAGTCTGCAAGTCTGGTTAATAGAAAACAGCATCAGAAAATGCAGAGAGAAATTGTTTGTCTTTTACCTGGGCTTCTAGCAGAACATCACATATGCAGTAATGGCTATGGTCAAACACACACAGCAATTTTGTCAAAAGCTGCTGATATGACCATGTACTACCACTTACAAGGGCAGGAGGACAGAAATGCTAAAGGAAGAAAGGAAATGTTCAGGAAGACAGTGTTTCTAGTTATTTTTCAACACCTCTTTAAATCTACATATATAAAGAAAAAACTGGAGAGAGAAGATTGATATAAAGAATAGTTAATGGAATGTCATCTACAGCAAATGGAAAAAATATCTATTGCTCGGAACAACTAAAAGCAGTTTGTGCTGCTCAGATTGCAGGGGGAGAAGAGAGGAATAACAATGGTGGCAAACGTAGATAATCCTACCAGCTTTTCTTCTAGCTTTCCTAACTTTATTTAGTGGCTCAGAAGACACAGTTGCTACTGATATTCTACTGCTATTCTCTGGCTTTCAGTTCAGCTTAGCAACACTTATCAAACTGTAGAATCACAGAATGGCCTGGGTTGGAAAGGACACAATGATCATCCAGTTGCAATCCCCTGCTGTGTGCAGAGTCACCAAATGACAGCCAATTGTTAATTAAATACACATACAACAGAAATTCACTCTGGACTGCTGTTCAGTTACTGTGGCAGAATTAAGACTGAAAGCAAAGAGCTGCCTGTGCTCCTGGCACAGGGTCTGGAAATACAAGAATGGTTCTGGCATAAGAGAAATCATAGAATTATATAGAATGATAGAATGGCCGGGGTTGCAAAGGAGCACAATGCTCATCCAGTTCCAACCCCCTGCTATGTGCAGGGTCTCCAACCTGCACTGCCCAGGCTGCCCAGAGCCACATCCAGCCTGGCCTTGAATGTCTGCAGGGATGGGGCATCCACAGCCTCCTTGGGCAACCTGTTCCAGTGCCTCACCACTCCAGCTCCATCTCTTGGAAGTATAGTTTCCCTGCAGGCAGTAAGAGGCAGGAGAAGCCCAGAATAACTGCCCAGCTGGCAATACTCCTGGCCACAGTTTTTTCTCTGCACAGCATTTCAATTCCAAGTCATTTTGCTATTCCAAGTGCCTCTCTGTTAGAAAATCACAGTGAGTTGAATGGTTAAGCTAAAACAAAATTAAGTGCCAATTCCTCTTAGCAAAGGGTCACAGACTCAGCTCAGTGCCACTCTGCAGACTGGTTTTGCACAAGATCACTCTTTTTCTATTGGACATTGAAATTTAAGTGGAATTTAGGCCTTATCTCACATCTCATCTGCCTTTTGAATATTGTAACTCAATGATATCATTATTGGCAGCAGAAGTTTGAAAATCTCTCTGAAGCATTCTCCTAGTGGATCAACACATGCTGACCACCAACACCAGACAATGGTTTCTATTACATGAGGACTTTGAAAATGCTTCAAGGAAGCTCCTGATCAAAAACCCCAGACCAAGTAACAACTTACCACTGATGAGGCTGCTGACCTGGGACACCAGTTGACTCGATTTTCTTAAAAGATGGCATTGGTTGGGATCCACTTCTCTGCTCCTCAAGCCTTGATGATCACCCTCCTGCTCTCCATGACTTGGTTGGGATCTGTTACCATCACTGAAGTCAGGAAGAGACCTGGTCAGCTTCTGGCTGAAGTATCTTTGAACTTCATCCAGCTCACTCAAGTTTTTTCTGTAAGCAGTTGTGAGAAAAAGGTAAGGAACAAAAAGAAACGATGGCAGAATGATTCTATCCACATCCTTCTAGTCAACAGGGTATAAATACACAAACACAATGTTAGAGGTTTGTACTGTAAAACAGATCAAGATGTAAGCATCGAGGCTGCTCTACCTATGGGAAAGGACAATGTTTACTCAAGAACAAATTTAGGCTGGGAACTATAACAAAAAAAAAAAAAAGCAGCTAGTTTTAAACATACTTATTCAAAGTTGAATTTGCAATGACTTTCCAGTAGAAGTCTTAAAGGGTATTACTTGACTTCACAACCAATCTTGATAAAAATCTGAGTATTTTAAAATATATTGATTGTAGTGGCAGGAGAAATGATGGGAACAACTGAGAAAGTTTCTTTCAGTCCTGCAGATAATAAACATTCTCCCAAAATTTAGACCTGACCTGTAAGTCTAGAATCTAGACAAAAGAAAAATGAGTGCTTCCAGTAAGAAGAGAGATGCCCTGCTGTGAAAGGACATCCTTCTGTAAATTACACTGATACTTTTTTATCAGCCACTGTATTTTTTCATTTTCTTTAAAATCCAGTGCAGGAATTCTGAAGTTTCAAGCTGTGCTTTGTAAATTTAAGGCTTTGCCTTACCTGAGAGCAGTCAGAAGAGAAGCACGCGATGACAAGGACAGTGAATCCATCCTGGCTGCTCGTTGTGCATTTCCTTCTGCTTGCTGCAAGGATTCGTGAAACCTGCGCACGTTCTGCATGTGCTCCTCATGCCGAGGTGTGTGTGCCCTAGGGGGACTAGTTCTGCTAGGAACAGGCCTACATTTAAACACAGAAAGCAGTCTGAAATCTCTGCTTGGACAAGAGACATGGCAAAACGAAGGGGATATGCAAGTAACACTCAATTCTAAATTAGTACTATAAAGAACTCTTATTCTTATAAAGATCTGGCAGAATTAACTGCCAGTTTTAGTATCAGTATAATGGAATCACAGAATCACACAGAATCACAGAATGGCCAGGTTGGAAAGGACTTCAATGATCATGAATTTCCAACTCCCCTGCCACATGCAGGGCGACCAACCTCCACATTTCATACTAGACCAGTTAATACTAGACCAGGCTGCCCAGGGCCCCATCCAATCTGGCCTTGAACATGACGAGGCATGGAAGTTCTAAAGCAGCAGCTCGCAAATGAAACATCAGTGAGAAGAAAATCTGGGTTTTGTAGAAAAGTACCTATCCCCAGGTTACCATCTCCTGGACTGCCCTCTCACTGGTAAAGGGAATCCAGTATAATCTTTCCAACATAGGAAAAGATCTTTGATACGGTTTTATGTTATCAAATATGCAAAGTTCTGCATCCTGGAAGTGATCAGTATGACTCACAGCCAGCTGACTTACTGTTCTCGAGAAGGAACACCAACTTCTTTTGGCAACACGGGCTTGGAAAAGCTTGGAACATTACTGGGAAATGCTGGAAAGATGGCCTTCATCTAGAAGAAAGATGAACGCCTCACATGAGTCTTCCACAGTGAGAAAACAGAAATTGCCGTAGTATTTTACTGAGTATCTTACTGAGCAAACAAACATTTTCTAAATATAAACTTTCAAAGGATTTTCCAGCACTGAGCCAAAGTACTGTTCAACTACACTCTTATTTCAGAGACATCTGTTAAAAGGCAGATTCAGCTATCATATGTAGGAAGTCTGACTACCCTGCTTTGTAACTGCAGTTTCCAATTTACATTTTCCAGTTCCAGCTTTGTTGTATAGAACAGTCATCCAAACAAGGGAAAGTAGGCAAATAACAAGAAAAATTCATGCTGGAAGCAGTATCATATAAAATAATAATAAAAAACCATTGTATTAAAAAGACAGGAGGGTAAAATTCTGCCTTTTTGCTTTCAGCAACAGCATGAAATTATTACGTGTAGCATGAGAAGGACTGCTGGATCCCTCCTCACCCTACTGAAGAGTGAACTGGTGGAAAGCAAGGTAAAGTGACTCCACTACATATATACATCCTATCCCAGTACTGATCCACTGCAGTAAGGCAAGCTTGCTATGTTTGCTCATTACTGCTGATCTAATCAGACAATGCACAGGGTAAGAAAGCAAAGTACGTACTGCAGAGCTTGGAGTCTGGGTGCGGATCCTTGCCTGCCTTTCTTCTTTGAGATTATTTATATTTTGAAGGGGAGAGACTGCTACTTTGATCTGTCCTCGGCACTGCCCACTGAAGTCGGTGATGTTGTACCACCCGCACACCAGCTGGAAGCCAGAAAGAAGGGGAGAAAGGTCCACTGATGCAAATCCTATCACTCGTTCTGTTTCTGAGGAAGAAGAATATAAAGCGTGCGTTAATTTCAGCTGCATGAGATGGCAACATTTGAGAAATGCCAAAAGGCAGACAGTTATAGAGCCTTTGAAACGCATCGAGGATTGACAAGGAAAGACTTCTCATTAAAAATAAATAAATAAAAAAAGTTTCTAAAAAGTGGTAGTAAAGAATAGGGTTTAAGAAAAACAAACAGGGGCTTAGATTTGGAGTTTTACCAGCCTTCAAACCAAGACACTTGTGGTGTCTGACTTGGAAGGAGAAATTGTTTGAAGTAATTAAAGCAGTCTCTTCCCTGCAAATGTGCCCAATTGCCCATAGCTGCTGCAGCTATTGATAACTTGAAGACCTACAGAGGTGGTAGTTCACAGCAGAGAGGGTCTGGCTGTAGGTGCAAGGAAGGACGTGGAGGTTATGCGCCCTATCCAGTACTTTATCAGAAGGTTTCTGTTGCCAAACCTTTCAAAAATCATAGACTCACAGAATGGCTTGGGTTGGAAGGGACCTCAAGGATCATGAAGCTCCAACCCCCACTGCAGGGCCACCAACCTCTACATTTCAGAGCAGCCCAGGCTGCCCAGGGCCCCATCCAACCTGGCCTTGAACACCTCCAGGGATGGACGGGGCATCCACAGCCTCTCTGGGCAGCTGTTCCAGCACCTCACCACTCTCTCTCTAAAGAATTTCCCCCTGACATCCAACCTCAATCTTCCCTCCTTCAACTTCAAACCATTTCCCCTTGTCCTGCTGTTATCTCCCCTACCCAAGAGTTGACTCTCCTCCTGTTTGTAGGCTCCCTTTAGGTCCTGGAAGACTGCAATGATTCACCCTGCAGCTTCTCTTCTCCAGGCTGAACAAGCCCAGCTCCCTCAGCCTGTCTTTGTAGTGGAGGTGCTGCAGCCCCCTGATCATCTCTGTGGCCTCCTCTGGACCCTCTCCAACAGCTCCAAAAATACCATTTGTCATTACACAGTTTCATTCTTGTACAACATTTTGTCTTTTCTGTCTTGCAAATTTCTCTGAAGCACAGAACAATCAACCAAGAAGAGGATGCTGTAGGGAGCCTGTTTTGCAGGGGAGTTGGACTCGATGACCTCTAGAAGTCCCCTCCAACTCCTACAGTTCTGTGATTCCACTCACTTAAAAACACCCCTGCAGAAACAATGAGAGTGCAGAGCTGAAAGGAGAATGGTTGTGCACACATGGTGCTCTGCACTATGCAGAGAAAGGCTGAGTTACACAGGATGTTTACTTTGAAAGCAAAAATTCTGCCAGGTGAACTTTAAAATATAAAAAGAAAGGGGAAAAAAATTGGTATTTTAAAGATCACATCCCAGTAGTTGAATTGGGGGCTGTCCCAACAAGAAATATATACCCATGAGACTATAAAAATATCCAAATGTCCCTTCAGTAGAAAAATCCAACCTCTAAAATACTGTCAAATTAAAATAGGGAAATACAAACAAGCCAAAGCTTGCCAGGAGATAAACAGGAAAAGATGCTGAGAGGCAGGAAATCAATGTGTCTATTGCATTCTTCCAGCCTAAGGCCAACAGTATCTTTGCAACTGCACTCCCCAAGTTACTTGAAGTCACCCAAGGAAAGGGATGCAGAAAACCACTCTTCTCAACATTGCCCTACAAACTTTACCTGCTTTATGCCACACTTTGAAGACCAAGGTTTGCTGCGGATCCAGCAGAAGTTCTTTGGATAATCTGTGAAAAATAAAGTCATAATTTATTCTGTGAAGCAGGAAAAAGAGCAGGCACAGTAAAATGCCTCTGAAGATCCAATGATGTTGTGTCTATCCATACAAACCAGTTTGTACCTTGAATGATGAGCAAAAAAAAAAAAATTCCTTAGTCACCAAAAGCATAACTTTATGTGGTTTGGACTTTTATTTATTTATGTTATTTCCCTCTCCTTTCTCTCATCGTAGGTTCAAAGATAGGACACTGAAACACAAGGAATCTTAGGAAAGAGGAATGGAGAACCAGCCAATCCCATGGTGACTCAGTAAGCACAGTGACAGCAAAACACAGGGGTTGTGGCTGAAAGCTGTAATACTCAAACCTTTGGGAAATCTTTGGGAAATAAAGAGGAACACTGAAATGACAAATGCCTTTGCTGAGCAGCTTTTAAGTCACTTAAAGCAACACAGCTATGAATATGCAGAAAAACCCAATAAATTGGATCAAGCTTTAACACATCTTCCCAAGAGACTTTAGCTATTAGCAGCCCCTTTCTCTACATGGGGAAACTACAGCTGAATGGAAACAGACTGACTCACCCGAAGTCTTAAGCTGAAACACAGTGCAGCCATGGTTTAGTGCACCTCAAATGCCCTTCCTCAAGTTAGCTTTAAGATCAAGCCTCCTCAAACAATTTTCCACCCAAAATAAGCGTGTGGCACTTATACAACATGCGTAAGTATGTATACAAGTATTTCTAGCTGGGAGAAGCTCAACAAGACTGCTTGTCAGACCTGGAAAAAACGCTTTTTAGAGCTTGCTGGATCAAAAGCTGAATGAAGGGGAGTCTAAGCTTATAAAACCACAGAGTAGGAAATAAAGCAGTATAGGCCCATAAGCAGAACTTCACATCCAGCTGTCACACCCAAAGGGTTTGCAGGCATGGCTGTGTGAGCCCATGTCACCCACCTTGCTTGTTGCTGGAAGTCCCAGATAGGTGACTCTGTGTTTTCTATTACTGGAGTGGTTATTGGAGCATCTGAACCAGCAACAGCAAATGACACACAGCTACTGGGTGCAGACACTTCCCGTTCTGTCAGAGGACTCCCTAAAATTAGACAGTTAAAAACAGAATTGGCCAGAAGATAAAAGAAATTATTCATTTATTTTTAAAATTTAAAGGCAATTAGAAGTAGGTAATTAATGAAGAAATCCATCATCTAGGAAATACTCCTTTCCAGGGGCGAAACTGAGAATACTTTGTATTAACAATGGAGGCAAATAACACATGAATCCTTTAGAGAACAGAATGCAGAACATCCAAGGGAGAAGCTCAGAAAAGGATCATCCAAAAAGTCAGAGGCAAAGCCAGAATTAAACCCAAGTCCCTGGAACCCCATTCCAGTATTTCATCTATCTTCCAGGCTGGACCACAGAGCTTGGCAATCCTAGCTGCAAACAGAAAATACTTTTGAGTTATAAAAGTCAGCGTGACTTTACAGTTGGCTTGTTGAGAGCACGCTCATTTAATTAAGTATTAACGTAATTAACTGAAGGATTTCTGCCACAAGAGAAGCAGAGCATAGAATGCTGATGTATGGCTTTCCTTGGATGGTGATTCAGAAGAGCTATATGCTGATGATTTCCAGACTCACTCATCTGAGAAATCAGTCTACTTCCAGCATGGTTCAACCCACCAGATCTGAGAGCTCGTCCAAGGAAAATTCTGCCTTCTCCTTTGTGCTGTGTTATTTTTCCAGATGGATCAGCTCCCTGTCTGGCTCAGCAGGCAGCTGCACAACTCCACGTGCCTGCATGAGGAAGGCAGGGAGCAGTGCATGGCCATCCAACTGTGCTTTGAGCAGGGGTAGAGAGCATGGAGACATACAGCTTAATGTTGTATGAGGCAGCTTCAGGAAATACTGCTTTTAAACCACGCATCACCCAGACCTTTGTGATTCCTACACCATGGGATGGCATTCACTCTGCAATGCACCTGTGAGAGCTTCCTGAGACTTCTTGTGTGAGAGCAGTTCAGGGCTGGAAATATAACCACTGTCTTCCTCATGCATCCTGAATTAAGCCAGGAAAAGGCTTGTGAAGAAACAGATAATGAATTAATTAGTCTGATTTTTTGGATATGCTCACACTTAGATCATTTATAAGTAGAGGAACGCAAGGTCAAATTAAGAGATGGAGCTGAACATTCCCCAGATGCTGCTGGATATTAGATATTAGATATTATATAGCAACAAATGAAAGATGTAGAAATCACACGATAACCTGCACTATATTATATCTTAGCAAAGGACCAGGGACAATGATGTGCAAAGGTGTTTGGGAAATAGAGAATGAAAGAAAGGATTTCTACCACTGCATGTGACCCTTCTTCCAGACTTGGATCCTCTTAGTTACAGTTGCATTAGGGAGATTAATTTGCTTCAGTGCATCACCACTTGTAAAGCTGCAGATGCATTTTACTGCTTATAGAGCTGTTCAGACAGTAAAGGTGCAGCTGGCAAGATCTGCCAGAGGAGAAATGGACTTCACTAAGGGGTACCAAGGTCACACTTTGTAATCAAACACCACTCAGTTGTTACAGATGCATTCCTCACCTCTGCCTTCCAAGGACTCAGTATGTGGCTTTGGACTTCAGGTTTTAGCTCTAAGACCACATCAGCCAGAATGACCAAAGCTGAGAAGTATGAACCCATCTTAACTAAAAACTCTTTCCTCTTGACATCTGATTTGCCAGGAAAATATGATCAAATGTTACCTGTTCAACAGAAAGGTGGGCCTGGGTGAATCTAATGATGTCCAACACAGCAAAGTGCAAGGTTTGGCACTTGGGCCGGAGGAATCCCAGGCATCCAAACAGACTGGAAGGAGCAGTCTTAGAGAGCAGCCTTGCAGAGAAGGACCTGGGGTTCCTGACTGATGAAAAACTGAACATGAGCCAGCAGTGTGCTCTTACAGCTCAGAAAGCAAACGGGATCCTGGGCTCCATCAGCAGAGGGGACAGGGAGGTGATTGTCCCTCTCTACTCTGCCCTTGTGAGGCCCCATCTGCAGCACTGCATCCAGGTCTGGAGCGCCCAGTATAAGAAAGACAGGGAGCTGTTGGAGGCCACAAAGATGATCAGGGGGCTGCAGCAGCTCCCCTACAAAGACAGGCTGAGGGAGCTGGGCTTGTTCAGCCTGGAGAAGAGAAGGCTGTGGGGTGACCTCATTGCAGCCTTCCAGGACCTAAAGGGAGCCTACAGACAGGAGGGGAGTCAGCTCTTGGAAAGGGTAAATAACAGCAGGACAAGGGGAAATGGTTTGAAGTTGAAGGAGGGAAGACTGAGGTTGGATGTTAGGGGGAAATTCTTTAGAGAGAGAGTGGTGAGGTGCTGGAACAGCTGCCCAGAGAGGCTGTGGATGCCCCGTCCATCCCTGGAGGTGTTCAAGGCCAGGTTGGATGGGGCCCTGGGCAGCCTGGGCTGCTCTGAAATGTGGAGGTTGGTGGCCCTGCCTGTGGTGGGGGGTTGGAGCTTCATGTTCCTTGAGATCCCTTCCAACCCAAGCCATTCTGTGATTCTGATTATTTGCTGTAGCTTATAGAGTTACTATTTCTGCCTTTATCCATGAAAATTTACTTGAGAACAAGAGAATTTTTTATTATTTAAAACGAACGATGACTTGAGTTGTAACATGCCCTACAAAACTGGTCTCAGTTTGGCAAGACTGCAAAGATGGCAGCTCAAACACAGATGTGGGTGACATGAGGACAGCTCAAAGAAGCAAGCAAGATCTGCCCAGACTATCTCCTGGCCTCCTGTGTGTAAAGGCAGACCAAAAAGTCAATCTTTGTAGTCAAAGTAGAAGTAATTTCAGTCCTTTCTAACATTATGAAGCTTAAACTGCTTCTTTCCTTTGTATTTTTTGAAAGGTGAAAAAACAAAAACACAAAAAGCCACAAGAAAAGTGACTTTAGACAAACAATATCAAGAGAGTTTGGGAAACACTTTGCATCTTCATTCAGGTATTGAAAACTATGCATTTTAAACAGCTCTTGCAGAACTGCCTGAAGTTTAATATCTGTTAAATACAGGACTGGAAATGTATTCAGCCCTTTTATCTGTAATACAGTAATGAATGTTTTAATCACAAAGAATGCAAATTCTTGTTGTAACCAGATTTTATATAGGCACCATATCAACCTATCTGTTGTCTCTCAGTTAGTTCCCTCTAAAAATACCCAGAAAAGATTATTTGTTTGAAGATGAAATTGTGCAATAGTGTACACCATCACAAGACACCTCCTTATCTCACCAAAAGCTTTGCAGCAGCAAATAATTTTGCATCAGGCTTCCAAAGATGATGAATTCCAACGGTGTACAGAAAAATGGTTTAAAAAACCCCCATATCTGAATGACTTGCACTTAAATCATAGCTTCTGTTTGACTTCTAGTTGTGCTGTGTCATGGCAAAAAATGCTGAGTGCTCTTTTCTGGGGGTATCACCCATAGTAGGAACTGGTTGATTTTATCAGACACATCCAGTGAACTCACCTCATGTCAGTCCCTCATTCACACTCCTACTTGGTAACAACATATGTATTTGTTTTGGTAACAATATATGTATTTGTTTTGATAGCAATATATGTATTAATAAGAGTGCAAAGGAGATCTGATCACTCCAAGTGCTGAACAGACATAAAGTGATCAATCACACAGCACTAAAGGTGTCCAGGGCAAAGAGTGGAGCACTTGAAGTGCTTTCAAAGGTTCAACTCATCTTTAACAAGCAAAGATTCATTACAGACTTCACACTGAGGCAAGAAGAAGGCTCTAAAAACTGCTAACTCACTGTGTTACATTCCTCCACATCAAGAGCCAAACATCACCTGCTAGGAAGGATAATCTTAATATGCTTAGAATAAATTTGAAAGTGAAGGACAACACTTTGGTGACCCTCAGCACAGGGATTAGTCACCTAACTGTAACTCCCACTCTGCAGAGTGGGAAACAGAGTGTCAAGCCTTGGTGAGTGCAGCCTGCTCTGCCCTTACACTGCCCTTCCTTGTTGCTGTGCCTGGCAGCCTGCAGATAGCACAAGCAAGCCAGCTTTACAAATTGATTACACGCTAAAAATGCAAATTCATAGGAGTCTTTGAGATATGAGCATCTCAGGGTTATGTTATTCAGATAAAGCTTAACTTCAGAATTCAGCTGTTATCTGTAACTGTGAATGTTATTTACATTTTGGCTGTTATTAATAGAGATAGGCTGAATAGCTTAAATTCCAGCTCCCCCCTCTACTTACACAGTGATGTAACAGTCTCAAGGCTACAACACTGCAAGCAAAGTTCAAAACCCATTGCATTCATTCACTGTGTTGGAATAAGTCTGAGAAAAAGATGTTGTTTTTCTGTTTGTAAATTGCTCCTCGCAGGAGCTATTATGAGCAGACCCCAAGAAACAAACAAAACAAATACACACTCAGGAAAACAAGAATTAAAACAAATAAACACAGCAACAACAACAACAACAAAGGGCCTCGTTGAGGGTTCACCTTTTAAACTGAGATGCATTGCTCTTTCCACAAGGATGCTGACAGCAATGGTGCTTTCCAGAAACACCACGTCATCTTCTTGTGGCTTCCCATTGGTGATTTCTGAGCTTCTGACATCCAGGTTCTGATCCTGATTTTCAGAGACCTGCTGACTCGGGTCAGGTGCTCTCTCTGTGCTTTCATCTTCACTGTTGCTGTGCTCCTCTGTGCAGTGTGGTGTGAGGGCTGGGGCAGCAGAAGTGGAGGAAAAGGCAACGTGAACACGTACAGCAGCTCCTGCAAGGTCTGCAGCATTGCATCTGAACAATGGGTACACTCCTGTAAGAGAATTCACTATCAGCTAAAGAAATACAAAAGCACACAACCTAGGATGATCCCAGGAGAAGCTCATTATTTTAAGATCTCACATCAGATCAGCAGCCTGAATTTGGATTTTCAGTGTTACTTCTATGCAAGGTATCACTCACTGACCTGTCCACAAACCTGCCTGTGTGCTGATGGCTGAGCTAACACCACAGCGAGGGCAGAAGCCTCAGAAACTGAACAGAGCAGAAGTGTCCATCATCTTCTCATGCTCAGTCATTGAGATACATTATTCTCACTCTACTACAGTGCCCAATATGCCATTCTAGAGAAACATTCCTCATTAATCCAGCTAGGCTAATTGCTTTCCCTGTTATTGATAGCTGCTGGCAACTTTGCACCCATTTAAAGTTATTAGGTTTTGAATTCAGAGAAGCAAGCATCTTAACCTTGTTTATCTTCAGTGAAAGGAGCTGAGCATGTATTACATAAAGGACAAAACAAAGCTGTAAATTCTTTGCTTAATTACAGAATTAAGCAACCAAGCATCAGTAAAGTGAACTGAAACATGACAATGTTCTTTCTGGACTTACCACCAACACTCAGTGTTCTCCTTGACCTCTCTGCTAATGCTCTGAGGTCGACGTATGCAGATCCAATGAGACGATCTGTATCAAGTGGTCTTTCCACACCATTTTCTTTGCCATATGCCCACCACACTTGGATTTCTAATTTCTCCTCCCTAAAGAACCAAATCAGCCCTTGGCTCTTCCTGAGAGTCACCTTGTGGCCTTTCTTAAAGTTCACTGTAACATTCTTGTTGTCCTCACACAATTTTGGCCTCTTAAGCAAAGTCCACGTGGCTTCCTGATCATACAGCTTATACCTGAGGTAGCAGCAAATGCTTTTATTCAGTTGCATCTGGCCTGCAAGCAGCACACAGTGCAATGGCAGCCACACTCTTGGGGTTGAAATGGTCACAACCACTGGTCTGTCACTCGGCTCCCATTCATCACCCTCATCCATGCTGTCTTCAAGGCTTTCCTGACCGTTCCATCCCAAAAGCTGAGCAGCCTCCAAAACACGCTCTCTGTCATTGTGATGAGCAAAAGTAACAGAAAGTTCCAGTCCTCCCACAACGGTCTGCATGATGTTTGTGCGGTGTGAAGGCATTGCATCTTCAGAGAGGGTAACTGGGTACCAGCCTGTAATACCTACAGGAGAAAATAATGTAATTAGACTTGTCCTACCTCGTGAAAAATGTCAGCAAAGAACATTCTGCTCTCTGCTCATTAGCCAAGAACCAGAACTCATAGAATGGCCTGGGTTGCAAAGGAGCACAATGCTCATCCACTTCCAACCCCCTGCTATGTGCAGGGTCTCCAACCAGCAGACCAGGCTGCCCAGAGCCACATCCAGCCTGGCCTTGAATGCCGCCAGGGATGGGGCATCCACAACCTCCTTGGGCAACCTGTTCCAGTGCCTCACCACCCTCTGGGTGAAGAAGTGCTTATTATTCAAAGTGTTTATTTCTTGTGAAAGTTTGGAATTCATCTGTAACCTGAAAAAGCAGCAAGCAGTAGCATAACACTCCTGCATTACCTGATCGTCTTCTTAGCAGGTCTCTGGTTGGAACTGTAACTGTCCCAAGAAGATAATCTCTTGATGTCCGAGCTGCCAATGTGTCAGTGGCTGGAAAACAAATAATGTTACATATACACCAAACTGCAATACACGATTTAGAGACAAGCAACTCTCCTATGAGGAAAGGTTGAGGGAAGGGGGCTTGTTCAGCTTGGAGAAGAGAAGGCTCCAGGGAGACCTCATTGTGGTCTTCCAGTGCTTGAAGCGAGCGAATAAACAGGAGGGGAATGGCTGTTTGTGAGGGTGGATGGTGATAGGACAAGGGGGAATGGCTTTAAAGTGAGACAGGGGAGGTTTAGGTTGGATATGAGGAGGAAGTTTTTCAGCCAGAGGGAGGTGAGGCACTGGAACAGGTTGCCCAAGGAGGCTGTGGATGCCCCATCCCTGCAGGCATTCAAGGCCAGGCTGGATGTGGCTCTGGGCAGCCTGGGCTGCTGGTTGGCGACCCTGCATATAGCAGGGGGTTGGAACTGGATGAGCACTGTGCTCCTTTGCAACCCAGGCCATTCTATGTTTCTGTGATTAATCAACAGAGAGCTGGTTCATTACTACTCAGTTATTTTAACAACATGCCACTCCTGACTTTCATAGAATCACAGACTGGCCTGGATTGAAAAGGACCACAAAGTTCATCTAGTTCCAGCCCCCTGCTTTGTGCAGGGTCGCTTCTGTGGGAGTAAAAAACAATGTCATCTCTAGCTAAATTTTGTTCATAAAACCATTCTCTATATTATGCTGTAAAAGAATTTTGTGTATCTGCCATAGAATCATTGGGGAATTTCAATGTATCATTTTTCTGAACCTCCATTACCTCGTTCATAAAGCAAAGGCAATAAGGCATACAAATACAAGGGCAGGGTGCTCCAAGAATCACAGAATGGCTTGGGGTTGGAAGGGACCTCAAGGATCATCAAGTTTCAACCCTCCCCCATGGCCCCCACTCTGTATAAATGCCTGGGATTCCTCCAGCCCAAGTACAAAACCTTGCACTTAGCTGTGTTGAACCCCATTGGATTCAGTCAGGCCCATCTTTCAAGTCTGTTGAGGTCAAGCAATAGTCAAGTGGTATTATTGTTAATTAATTACCTTTAAAATTAAAAGGTTATCTTGACAACCTGGTCAACACTTTGCATGAGGGGAAAAATGCCTTTTAAAGCCATCTCTGATGACAGTTTAAGTGATTACATCTATTAACAATGCACAGAATAGTTTGTCCTCTACCATGAAAATTAAGGGGACTAGATCATTATGCAAATACATTTAGTCATTATAATCACTCGTTCTCCTTACCTGACTTGACGTTCTGATGGTAGACAGAGAAAGTGATGTTGGCAGACTGCAGAAGCTCCCCCAGACAAGAGGCTTCTCCACTGCTTTTCTGAACGATGAGGTTACAAGGGATCTCCACATGGTGCTCAAACTCTGGGCAGAAGCTGCGAGCCACAGCTCGTGTGCTGTGCCTCTCTGTCTCAGGTAGGAAGGAGAGGTGCACAGAAACGTAAGCATTAACTCCAACACCTGCATAATACCGGACCGAAGGGTTCTTTTCTGCCACAGCTCTTCATTTGATATGTAAAAGAAACCAATTAAGGAAATGAATATAAAGCACAAGAAATACAGCAACCAGTGCAACTAAAACAGACATATCTGTGTGGCAAAAAGATGGGACAAAACAGTGAACATTTTAATTTAAAACTGATGTGGGCTATGGCTGAAGATTCTTTTCATCACTTTCACATCTGAACACAGTAGGAAGATATGAAATGGTGACATTAACTATCACAAGGTCCAACACCTGCTTGCTGTCCTCTTATTGCCAGGATCTGAGACCAAAGTCATTAAAAAAGTTTTGAGCTCCTTTAAAAATATCCCATACCATAGGAAAAAGCTGCAAGATAACTTCTCAGAGAACATATTGCAGAAGGAAGCAAATGGTCAAGCCAAATTATTTTTACCCACTAGACTTGCCAAATAAAAGGTGGTGAAATTAGCAGAGTTCTTTATGAATAAAACAGACATAGGTAGCATTCTGGTCATACACTTCAAGAATGAAAAATCTGAGGTCATTTGACTTCCTTAACTTTTCCGAGCACCACATAGGGGTGATATTCATTGTATGGAGTCTACTTGAATGAACATGAGAACAGCTCAGTAGGCAGTATGCTAAAACAACAGCAGTCATCTCTCTCTTCCAATATGCAGTTTTCAAGAATTATATTCAGGTTATACCATGCACTAATAGCAACAGTATTCTGTTGAAAACAGATGTGTCATTTTAATTTACCCATGTTTCCACACTGAAATTCAAGAAAACAAACCTCAACTAGCTTTCAAGTAGCATGCTAACACTAAGATCCACTGCCCACATGGGTAACAATTTATACCAGCCTTCAGTGTAGGAAAATGTGAAAGGAGATAATACTGAAAAAAAGGTGAAGGAGTCAACAGCTATGGCTACAGCTTTGCTAGCTGTAAGAACATGTATGATGTCTCTGCTAATGCATCACAAGTCTAAACTACTTCATTCCCTGTTCTGGCTGTCTTGAGCCTTCTGTAGAATGAGTACTATAACATTGTACTGCAGTTTCAGGGACAAAAAAATAACCACAGGTCTTCTTACAAAAGTATTTTCACTTTGGATCAGAGCCCAGTGTGAATCTTGGTTGCTGCAGATGGGAAGTTGGCCAGTTACAGTTTGTTTCTAATTTGATATTTCAGCCTGCTGCCTCTAGGTAAAGCTATTTTAAGAGACAGATCTTCCTTTTAGAATGAAGCATTACCTGGCTGCTGCTTGCAAACCAGCTGCTCTGTGTATTTGTACAGAAAGAGAAACAGTTTGAGCAGTTCTTCCTGCTGTAGTTTTCACAGAACGTTGGTATCTCACGCTCACATCAAGCAAGCCTGCATTAAATGAGAGAAAGAAAGCAAAGAAATGGTCAGCTTTTTAAATAGCTGCATTCAATATAACCAACACTTAGCTTTAAATCTTAATACAAAACTTATTCTATTAATCAAATAAAATAGAAAAAAAAAACCATAAAGAAAAAACAAGAGATGCTTGGCAGGGAATTAAAGCTTGTTCAGACTGACTGTGCCAGGTGCTCTGCTTCAGATAGAAATTCTGGCCTGATGCAGAAGGCACAGAAGGAAATGGTAAGGAGTGCATCCTGCAATCTGACCTCCTGGCAATGTGGTCAGGTGTTCTTAATGGCCCCTTCTCAGGGTCAGATTTATGACATAGTGAAAGTAGGACAGTCTGTTTAACTCAGCCATGCCCTCATGTGTGCATTTATTGTAATAGGTTTTAAATATACTACTGCAGTATTTCAACACATCTTTTTTATAGCACTGCAGTGACAAAAGCTTCAATGACATTTTCTGCTGCTGCATGTGGACAATCTATTAAAAAATAACTGAAGCATAATGAACTTCTTCCCCAGCTTTCTTATGGACACTTTTTCCAAGAAGCTGACTTTTTGTTTCAACAGTTAATGCTAAGCCTCTGTGATGGATAGAAGTTGTACAGATTTCCTTAGTGAAGATCCCAGAGCTGATGTTTGTATTATTTGAAAGAGCAATCACAGAACAAAGAGATGTTTCTGCTCCTATCAAGGAAAAATGGTTTCAAATAAAAGAGGGGAGATTTAGATTGGATTAAAAAAAAAAAACGTTGTTTATGAGAAGGGCAGTGAAGCACTGGTAAAGGTTACCCAGAGAGGTGATGGATCTGGAGACAGCCAAGGTCAGGGGATGGGCTCTGAGCACTGATGGAGCTGTAGTGTCCCTGTTCACTGCAGGGAGTGGGACCAGGTGGCCTTCAAGGGTCCCTTTCAACTCAAACCATTCTGTGATATCACATATCATACACGGCCTTTCTTCAGATCTCCCATTCACTACTTTACATGAGAAGCCTAACTACAGTCCCTAAGTTATTTGACAACTAAGCAGTTCCATACACAGGGAGTGCTTTTTAAAATTTCTTAAGAGTTTGAGGTTGCTCATATTTCTCACTGATTCTGCACTAGGTATGGTGATAGGGACAGCTGGGAGGAAAAACACTCACGGTCCATATTAGTTGACAACACAAATATTTTTAATTTACCTTGGCAGTGAACGCACAGACTTCCACCTTTATACACAAAGTGAAAAACCACAAGACTTCTTTACCTGAAGACCGCAGATGAAATTCTTCTGAGGAATCAGTCCTGGGAACCAATGGAAGATTAAAAGTCTGTATTCCTATTTCTTCACGATGCTGCATAGTTATCATGGCACACAGCCGTGACAAAGGCAAGGTCCCTTTGGCAACCATCTGGTCTCTGACATTTGGGTAATAATACCTGGGAAGACACAAAGAAGCATTGCCAGTCATATCTTTGGATGATGACAAAACAATCATTATTTTTTCTCAAGAATGCATGCAAGCCAACTTTAATTTGCATGTCTTCAGAGCACAGCTGTCAGTCTCCTGATAGCTAGGGGGAAAACTCAGCTAAGTGCTCAGGGTAGACTGAGCACATAGGTAACACTACCTATGTATATTTGCAGTAGTCATAGCAAGGCTGCTAGCAAATGCTATTAAAAATTAACATCCCAAAGGAAAACAAGAGAAGGATCTGGCATCAAATATTCCAAATTCTCAATTTCTGTTAATAAATAAAAATGCTACTTAACAACTGTTTACGAGAACAGATAGTGATAGGACAAGGGGGAATGGTTTTAAATGGAGACAGGAGAAGTTTAAGTTGGATATGAGGAGGAAGTTTTTCAGCCAGAGGGTGGTGAGACACTGGAACAGGTTGCCCAAGGAGGTTGTGGATGCCCCACCTCTGGAGGCATTCAAAGCCAGGCTGGATGTGGCTCTGGGCAGCCTGGTCTGCAGGTTGGTGACCCTGCACATAGCAGGGGGTTGGAACTGGGTGAGCATTGTGCTCCTTTGCAACCCAGGCCATTCTATCACTCTATGATTCTAGTTACAGAACAGATCAATGGTAACAGTTTCTGAGCGTATAAAATGACTCTAGACAGTTTCTAATTGTGCTGCTCTGCTTCACTTAAAGCTAGTTCTGGCATCACATCTAACGAACAACAAATAGACCAGGAGAAAGGCATCTGCTGTAGCAGTGACTGAGTAATGTGGTAGTGGTATAGACCTGCATTTTCTTTTGCGTTTTGGGACAGACCCCGAACATGTAATCCCAACAGGTTGGGTATGAGGCAAAAATCTCTTCTCTGAAAGTGGTCAGGCACCACCATGGGCTGCCCAGGGAGGTGGTGGAGTCACCATCCCTGGAGGTGTTCAAGAACTGTGGAGATGTGGCACTTGGGAATGGGTTGACAGTTGGACTAGACAATCTCAGTGGCTTTCTCCAACCTTTCCAACATCTTGCGGAATCACATCTGTTGGCTTCTGCAATTATTATCAAGCATAGCCAACATGGGTTCGTCAAGGGAAAGTCCTGCCTGAATAATAGGATCTTCTAAGATAAGGTCACCTGCTTAGTGGGTGAAGGGATGGCAGTGGATGTAATCTTTCTGGATTCTGTAAGGCCTTGGATACTGTCCCTCATGGCATCCTTCTGGACAAGTTGTCCAGCTGGGAGAGAAACAGGTTTATGCTAGACCAGGTGACAAACTGGTCAATGGCAATTTTAACTGCTCTGGTCATTACCAATTTTAATGTGAACACACCCAGCACATAATAATTCTCATAGGAACTTGGGAATTTTTAATAGCTGAGCTTGTCTACTACAGAATGAACAGAGGACAGTTCTTACAATTGTGCTTTTCTAAAGCTGCCTGTCTTCATGTTCTCTACTTTCCATCACTAATAATCAGCTTCAGCTGCCAAAAAAATTGATTAGAGCTTTGTTTAAATGAGAATCTCATCTTAATCTATACCACAAAGCATTTTACAATATAGACTCTTCAAGCCATTGACTAATGACCAAAACAATGAAATCCTGCTTTCTATTAAAATTTGGATGTGCTGAGCATTTAAACACTGCTTTTAGATCACTATGCTGGTAATAACATGTAAGAAAGCCAAATTGCTTGTCCTGTGTTAACCCTTCCTCATGTGTGCTTGCTAATCAAGTTGTAAGAAAAGAGTAATTCTTTTTGGGTGGAAAAGCTCCGAATGTCTTAAGCAACATTAAATGCATGTCCTCATCACCAAATGCTGATAAGTTCACTCATTTTTCACTTTCTACTTAATAACTATTCCACAGTCAGAGATTTTTCAATATCAGATGTGTCTCTGTGTTGTTCTGACATCTAATAAGAATATGATGTTAATCTGTACCTGCACCAGACTTCAAACTGGATTCCTCCTCCAACTGCTCCTGGTGCCATAAATGCACCGACCAGAAGCCTCTGAACTGGAACATCAGCTGGAGCCAACAGAGAATGATGATGCTCATCATTAAAGACAGGATCAGGAACACATAAAGTGGTTGCTGTCCGAAAAGGCTTCAACTCAATGCCTACAAGTCAAACAAGAGTTGGTTGAACAGCCACTGATGAATTCAAATCCAAGCACAGAAGTAGAAAACACACTAAACTTTAAACATCTGAACTGGTTCTGAACAAGTTAACTTGGAATCAGAAGGACTGGAAGACTCGTGGAGGGACAGGAAAGCAGTGCTGGGTTGAAAGCAATACAGCCACATGTGTGCAGTGCCACACCTGTGCTAAAATGCCAGGCCAAAGTGAGAGCAAAGCTGCTGGGTTCATATGGCACTATGGGAACTCCCAAACTTTGGCTGGTGGAAGCTCAGAAAGCCTCTGTGCAGACCACACCATTTGCTATAGAAACACTCCTGTGCTTCAGTTGCGTGTATTAGCAGGCTTTAGCCTTGTGCTCTCTGCAGCCCTTCAGGAAGAAGAACCAGCAGACAATAAGTTAAAACCTTGGGGGCAAAGGCTTGCTCTTCTGAATTTCACTTCACAACTCCTTTACAAGCAACTCACACATTCCCATGAGCCACAAGCTGAAAACTATATGTGTCTGGAAGCTGAAACAGTCCACAGCACTTGCTATGGGACAACATTACTGTCATTTCCTCACAGGAAATAGGTATTAGTGATTGCAAGCACATGAAGTCAAGACTAAGTCCTTTTCTACATTTGAAATGGTTCAAATACTCCTTCCTTCTGCTAATGATTTAAAACAGGTGGTTTCTCAAAAGGCATGGAAAGCCTTTGGTGAAGTTAACCATGTAATCTTAGTATTTCATAGAATCACAGAATGATAGACTGGCCTGGGTTGAGAAGGACCACAAAAGATCCTCTAGTTTCAACCCCCCTGCCACGTGCAGGGTCACTAACCGCCAGACCAGGCTGCCCAGAGCCACATCCAGCCTGGCCTTGAATGCCTCCAGGGATACTTCCTGCAAGTTTATTCTTGCAAGATCAGCCTGTGAACCTTCTGTGCTCTTTAACGAAAATGCATTGCGTGAATAGACTCAGAAAGAGGAATCTTGCTGCACACTTTGCCATCTACCTCAGCTGAAGCAGGCTTTTAAGTTACTGATTTAGCCCTACTGGAAAGTCCTTTTTGTATGCTGAGCTCTGAGGAAACATTTAACTTAGAGCAATGCTCTAAACAAGGAGGTATCACAAAACAAACCTACCATCTGTGTGCGGTTCTGCTCCTGGCAATGCACCAGAGCCAGCCTCTTGCACTGGGAAATAGTACTGAACATAGCAGTCAGCCTCTCCCCACACTGTGGACTGTAGAGGAGCGAGTCCTTTCACACTCTCCACATGAATCTCAAAGACATGCTCCATCAGTTCTTCCCCTTCTCTCTCCAACTGCTAATAAACCAGAAGAAAATGCACATGGAAAGGCAGTCTGTATAGGAAACAGCATGCAAGAAGACTGACAACAAGAGCTTCTAATGAACCCCAAATGAGGGGTTCAGAACCACTGTGGTACAGTAAAAATTAACATTTCCTGTAATATTTTTTTTACTACGCCTGTCACATAAATAGAAGCAGTGGATATATAGAGAAGTAAGAAAGGGAATAACATCAAGACTACTGAGAGAAAGCAGACAAAGGAATACAACAATATCATTCTGTACAGAACACAACCATCAATAACAAAACTGCCTACAAAGAGATTGGGGATCACTAGGTCTGTTAGCAAACATAGAGGTAAAATTCTTTTCACCTGTCCCTAACAGCAAGAATGGGAATTTCATGAACAATACCATTGTCAGCTTTGTAGGAGGGGGGTCCAGGAAGTGGGGAGGGCGCTGGGTGATGGGAGGCTCCATTCCTTCTTCATTCTTCAGCCTTTGCAGTGCCACGATCTGATCAGCTGAGCCCATTGCCAGAATGACCCTCAGGCTTCCACTTTTACTGCCAGTGAAGACGTCTATCACAGGCATGTAGCTGTCCACAGCAACCACTGGATAGTGAGCCTGAAGCAGCAGGTGGGAAATCTTTGGATCTCTAGAGTAGATGAAAAGAAAAAAACAAAGCCCTATCATGAAAATGAGCCATGTGAATACATGGGAATATAGGGGGAATGGTTTTAAAGTGAGACAGGGGAGGTTTAGGTTGGATATGAGGAGGAAGTTTTTCAGCCAGAGGGTGGTGAGGCACTGGAACAGGTTGCTCCAAGGATGCCCCATCTCTGGAGGCATTCAAGGCTAGGCTGGATGTGGCTCTGGGCAGCCTGGTTGGTGACCCTGCACATAGCAGGGTGGTTGAAACTAGATAAGCATTGTAATCCTTTTCAACCCAGGCCATTCTATGATTCTATGATACGATTCTATGAATACGAACTGCATCACATGCATTTCATTTTAGATGGAACAGTCAGTGCAGTTAGAAACCAATTTGTCTCCCCATTTCTCCAAAATTTGGCTCAATCACGTCAGTCTTTATAAAGCCCAGCTGAGTTCTGCTGACTGGAAAAGGCTATTTTCAGCAGCAAGAAAGTACAGCTCTAAAAAAATGAATTGCCCTTAGTGATAAGCCAGCGTGGAGATCTGTGAGCAAGGTGATGAATGGGAACAAGACTCCTATTAACATAACTGTAACTACGCACCATTTTTTATGAAGCAGTTGTTTGTCTTTGGTGATGGACTTGGGCAGGAATAAAGGAAGGGAAAGTGACTATCTTCCCCAAAAAAGCAAAAGTCTTTAATAGTACACTGAAGATATATACAAGCAAACCAGTGGCTTAATGAAAAAAAACAAACCAGCCACCAGCAAACAGTACACTAATAAGTGACAACGTAGTTGCAAGTCAGTTTCAGCACCAGCTGATTTCCTCCTATCACTAGTCTGACCATAACAAAAGAAACCAATCCTTTTCATGAGAAAGAGTCTTCTTCTGTCCAATATTTTTGTTAATTTAAATTATTTTAAGCAAGTATTTGACTGAACAAGAAGCCAAAACAGTGAAACAAAAGGAACAAAGAGCTCTGCAGGGAACTATTAGATAAAATGACAATTAACATTTCAAGTAGATGGGTTTTTGATACCACAAGCATTACCTTGTGCTGTGCAAACTGACAGCAAACCTAGCAATGGGATCTATGCAGAGTAAAATTAAGAACAAAACTCACAGCCTTGGAAAATCACCAATGGAACCACTTCACTTCTATCTCTCTCAGTTTTACTCTTCCATAGTTGCACAGGATGGTTCCTGGATCCAAGCACAATGCAGCATGATGTTTATTTCTGCCTATTTGTATTTCTGTACCAGGACACTGTGACTTACTCCAATATCACTCACTGGAGAGAAGTGACAGATGAAGCTTGAGCAGGACAAAAACTTCCACTGCTGTTAACTATTATTAAGAACTCTCCCACAACTCATCAGATGCCATCTTTGAATACCAATTACAACTTCTCCCAACCTAAAAAAAGGTGGAGCAAAGATGCTTACTTGAATGAGATGTAAAACTGATGCAGAGGCAGTTTCACCAATCCCAGCAGTCTGTCATTGCTGGGGTTTCCCACCTTGTTCCATGCTTCAATAACCATGACGTTGTTCTTCAGTCGCTCCAAGTGTTTGGAAGTCAGGGAGAAAGGCACCACCTGCAGAGTTTCATATAGGATCAGGACACAGAAAACACTGAAAGCTATTTGCTAAGCACTGAGCACTCTAGTAACACTACGTTATTGCACAGTGTACAAAACTGTGTTCTTCAGTCAACTTTTTCCAGTCATAAACCTCAACTTTCTTTGGAAAAAAAAAAAAGAGAAAAAAGGGGAATGAGAAACTGCATCTCATACTGTGCCATACAGCCAAAACAATATTGGAAGTAGTTTAAGTGCAATGGGCAGGGCCAAGCAGAGAAGTCTTTAGAAAGGTAAGGACAACTAATCTTCAAAAGGTTTGTCAGTGTGCAATAGCACATTTCAACCAGTTTGACACAGAAAAAAGGTGACTTGCCTGAGAAAAATTAAAGGTAGGCTGTGTTGTACCCCATACGACTGCAGATCTTGTTGCCTCTTCTGTGTTGAGCAGCTTGCAGTTTAAATACACATTACAAGAAGTGTGGAGTCCACTGTTTTCAACAAAATCCTTTCCATCAGGCACCATGAGCAGCACATGCAGTAATAACCCATAATCTTCAGCTGCAGGCAATTGTGTCATCAGATTACGGACCACAGGGGTTGAAACAGACCATGGTGGCTGCACATTTGTGCAGGCTGCTCCTGTCTTCTCTGAGTCCACGTGGTTGCTTAATTTCAAGCAGCTTTCTGCATTTACACGGTCCCTGTTGGGTTCCCAAAGTTCCATTCGAGGACTTCTTATGGCATGAGGTGGGACTTGCTGCTGCACAGCCACTGAGCACCTGGCAGTAGTGCAGGTGAAATCCTTGTTGTCAGCTGCAAGCTCTACTGATAACTGCATTGAACAAAGCAAAGAGCAGATGGGAAGATGTGTTCCATATCAAGACAAGAGACAGCAAGGTGAACTTGGGAATAATGCATTGCCTGTTTTGTTTAAAACTGTGTTGGATTACCACCCAGGGTGCTTACCTTTAGGCACAAGCTGTGACTGCAAAATAAACTGCACACATTTTTACCAAGTAGTAACCCATGTATGCTTAGCCAAGGTGAAAAGCTCTTTGAGAAAGTATCTCATCTGCCACTGTCTTCACCTTGGTACAACAACTACTGCTTGAGGAAAGCTATGACAAGGAAGTGTTTCTTTCTCAATGCTATCTTCCATCTTTACATTCCCTGTTGACTTTAGCTGTCCCTAAAACCTTGTCCTACTGTGAGCTCTTATTTCTTCTTTTCAATTGTGCTGCATTTGCCTTCACTTTTCCTATTTTGATTTCTTTATTATTATAATTATTATTATTATTAATTTATAAACATTCTGTCCTGTATCTGAGTTGCCTCTTCATGTTGTCAAGATTTGTAATAATCAGACAGGTATGGATGAAACCATGTGTGAAATAACAAAAGAAACACCAGAACATGGGCTAAAAGGACTATCATGGATAAGACAGCGAGAAAGAACAAATTGAATTCAGAACACAAGGCAGTATGATGAAGACAGGACTTGAGCCATAAAATGCCCAGTTGAGGAAAGCAAAATCATCACACAAGAATTTTGTCTAAGAATTAGGAGGAATGAGAGAAGGTACTGAGGCACATGATCCCAAATAGTACCTACTGCAAAATGCACATAATGAGGAGTTCAAACTACTGTCAGAAATAACCCAAGAAATGTGATGTGGATTCAGTAGCTGACAGCCCTTATCCTCCATGTCTGGCCATCCTGCTGACAGGTAGGTATTACACTGAGTAAAATCTAAGAGATGGAGTGACCAGAATCAGTTTTCTTAAAAATAAAGATTAGCTTTCCCTTCCATAAGTTATTGCACTGAATTCTGTTTCACTAGTTTCCTACAGTGTCTCCTTCCACTTTTCTTCCCCTATACCTAACCTTAGTGTTTTGTTTTTCACTCTTCTGTGGCTCCCCTACTAACAGCTCAACTGAATGGCTTCTATGGGGTCTCTGCCAATGTTAGGGAAATTGGAACTAGATGATCTTTAAGGTCTCCTTCACACCAAACTGTTCTGTAATTCTACAAGAGGGCCACTAATTTTCATAGGTCTATATGACAGAGAACATCAGGCAAGTCTTGAAGCATCAGAACCAATCCACACTCACATTCTTCTGGAATACTTTAGGAGTTCTGAACATAAAATGTCTAAATATTCTCTTCACCTTTCACTTACTAACTTAGCCACTATTTAACTGGCAGACCTTTCAAATGTACTGTGCAGAACTGTTGCTCCTCAATCAGAAGCCAAACATGCTGATTGAATCTCTGGCTCAAGAAGGCAACTCCTGAAGACACGATCTGCTACCAATGGAAACAACATCAGATCCTGTGTCAGGAGAGACCTGAGATCACATCATGTCTGAAAACAAGGAACACAGATCTGCTGCCTTCCTGTTCTCATACACCAAGGCTCCCATCCCTGAACATGTTCCACACAAAAAGCAGAGTGTTTTCTCTATCCAAGCCCTAGCTTACTGACATTTGTTTTATCCTGCAGGCAGAGGAAAATCACACAGCAAAATCCTTAAAGAAGGTTCTAAATATTTCTCTGACAGCTTAAGGAGGAAAAAAAAACCAAACAAGTTTCATGCTTTGTTTTCTTATATCTTCATATCTGAGACTTAACAAATGAAAAGAGAAAATATAAAAAAAAGAAGAATATGGTGGTTTGGCACAAAGCCCACATAATAAAAAAACATACCTTCAGTGGTCCAACTTGTATCTGATCTCCCTCTTTTTCTACAGGTATTTCACAGCTGAAAGCGAGGAGTTCTGACTGAATGACCTTGTACAGCTGAAGCACTGCTGAGCCAATGGCCACTGGCTGAGGGTAGAGCAAGAACATATTTTGTAAGGTTTCTGTGAAGGTTAAGTAGCACAGGGGATGCTTCAAAACAAGTCAAGATAAAGCCTCCTGAAAGAGCTGGGAAATGATGGTCAGATGCTCACCCTGCCCACTCGTACACCATCAGCTGCACTAACAGAGATTTGTAGGAAAGCTTTCCTTGCTTCCTGTTTCAGGTATCACTTGGATAACAGTAAGGTTCTAGCACCTTCAGTAAACAGTCCCAGATTAACACAAAAATTAACATCTCCGTGACTAGGTGAGATTTCCATTCTTGAAGACACAATTTATTAATCCATTAAAAAAAAAGCTCCTTTTTGAACAGAAGAGCAGGTATCTTTGGCGTTGTTTAAAACAAAACACAGGCTGAGTAAATATCTCCAGCTGCCTTTCAGTGCTTGTAGATGATTATGCAGATATAGCTACTTCCACCTACTCGCTCCAAGTAAAGACATTTTCCCTCTAAATGCACAAGTTATGCCATTATTCCCCTCACCCTGGTCATGATATCACCTGCATCTGCATTACCTCACTCTATGTATCTAAACAAGCTCTGCTCTCACTGAGAATCATGCTTGTAATTGATTCAGTACGCTTAAACAGCAAGAGCTCAGTTTTAAAGATGAGGGAAGGACAATTTGTTTTTTTTTTGCTTACCAGTCTTGAGCTTAGAAAATGATTTAGCTGGGTGACAAGATTGAACAGCAACTACTTCAGCTAAGAGATTCCACATGTAACGTTGATTCCTTTCATAATGTCTGGCAATGGTTGGTTAAGAAGTGGCTCAGTCAAGCCACATTACTTTGTTTTGTCTCTGATAGCTAAGAGGGCAGGAATGGGAAGGAAGTATTGAAAAAGACTTGGAGAAGACACTACTGAGTGGGTAAGTATTTGAAGGGAATTGAATTGCCAAGGCTTTCTTTGCTTTTCAATATACAAAGCATAAACAACTACTAATAATACCTTTCTTTGTGTGCTTTTTCGCATGTAGATTTTAAAAGCAAGGTCAGAGCTCCACCAGTGCTCTATCATCGTTCCACCAAAACGAACAGGGAACACAAATCGCTGCTGGAATTTCACCACTGCAAGGAAGACAGAGACTTGTGAGCTCTTAGCTGGAGCTAAGCTATCTTTCAGACTTCTTCAGAAACAGAAATCTTCAGTCTCTGCAGAGCGCAGGGAATTCAGGAGGCAGGAGAGGAAAGAGTGGCTATTGTGAGGAAGGTGGACAAACACACAGGGAATATTTGCACATCTGCTAGAATGAGCAGATCAAGCAAGGCTGGCAGCTGAAAGGGAAGGGCTGCTGCTAGAATCTCTCAACATTTCTACCTATTAATTCATGCTGCAAGTGTATGAATAATTAACTTTGTTTTTCTCTCACAGGAGCAACAAATATTCAGAACTAATTGAATATTAATAGACTTTCATGTGGAGATAATCACACCTCTGATATACACATGATCATCTAATTTTGCTTTACTTGTTAACATCAAGGCAAAAGTAAACTGTTGTTCATTTTCAAAGGCCAGAAAATAGCAGGAATGCAGCATGACAAAATTAATACTACAGTAGCATGTAAAGGCTACAGATGTGTCTCTGTTGTCTTATCTTGGAGAGAGTCAAAAGCTGAGCTGCAAGAACGATCACGGGTTCAGGAGAAAAGCACCTGCAAGAAAAGACTGCATGGTGTTTAGTTTGGAAAAGAACAAGTACAGTAGCAGAGCTGAATTAGCAAGCTGTCCTTGCTCACCATAGATAAAATAAGGAGTCTTGTGATGATAAAAATTCAGGTGGGCCATAAGGAAAATTTACTGACAGGAAGGTCAGCACTTTCACAGCCTGCCTAGGGAGGCTAAGGAATCCCTCTTATTGGGAATCTTTAATAAATGAGATGAGCAGCTCTCAGAGAAGACAACAGCACAGTGGATTGACTACGTGATTTCTTCCAATTATTTCCAACCTCATCAATTTTTCTAAGTTTCAGAGAACTGCAGTCTAAGTACACAAGGCAAAGTGCAGGGGGCTGTGTTATCCTTGTGTTACAAAGAGCCAAGGTTCAGAAGATGTTTTGTCTCTACACAGATGGAGAATTCACAAGAGAACACAATTAATATGATCCAGAAAGAGGCAAAGCCAATGAATGGGAAAGTCAACTGAACATGACCCTGGAATTCCAGTTTCTGGGAAGACAAGGGATAGAAGATCTCGCTCACGCACCATTCCTTGCTCACTGAGGGCAAAAAACATAACCTAAACTGATCTCAGAGATACAAAGAGTGGTAACTCTCAGAAAAGAGATGAATGTCTGCTGATTTGAGCATAGAACTTGTCAGGATCTCTTGGACCCAGGAGACTCTCTGAGCTCTTGCACGTTTCAGCATCTGGAAAAGACAGCTATTTATTTGAGATAGAAGTGCCTGATATTTCTAGAAGTATTTCTTCATCTTGAATATTGCAGAAAGGATACTGGTTTTATGTTTTACGGTTTCCTCTTCCCAAAGAGGACAGTTCCATTGCCCACAGTGCCCACAGGTGCCACTAATTGTAATATAAAATTGAAGTATTTTTCAGGCAGCAAACAAATACGTAAGAAAACATTTTCTAAGAGATGAAGCAGTTGACAACACTGAACAGAAGAGGGGACAAATAATGATCTTACCACCATCTGTGATTTTACTTGAAGCTATTCGAGTTAATTCTGTCATTAAGGACACTTGTCCTTTTTCATTCTTGGAGGCTCCCACAGGAAAGTGGTACTCCACGAAGAAGGTACTGTGAGTAAACAAATCACAGAATGAATTAATGACCACAATCCACCAAAGTGGATACTAATACACATAACAAAACTGAACAAAGCAGACAAGCTTCAAGTTCACAATCTATTAAATTGTTCTATTTTTAAAGATTGCAGAATCCTTAGAGTTGGAGAGAACCTTAGTCTGAGGAAAAGAAGGCTGAGGGGAGACCTTATTGCTCACTTCCAACACCTGAAAGATGATTGCAGCAGAGTGGGGTTGGTCTCTTCTCACTGGTGACAGGACAAGGGGAAATGGCCTCAAGTTGTGCCAGGGTAAGTTTAGGTTGGATATCAAGAAACACTTCTTTACAGAAAGGGTTGTTAAGCACTGGAATAGGCTGCCCAGGGAGGTGGTGGAATCACCATCCCTGGATGTGTTTAAAAACTGTTTGGATGTGGTGCTCAGGAACATGATTTAGCAGAGGGCTAACCCTAAGTTAGTTAGAGTAGGATGGTTGTGTTGAGGTTGGACTCAATGGTCTTTAAGGTCTTTTCAACCTCAGCAATTCTATGATTCTATGATAACACTTCAGTGAGAAACAATTCACCTACCACTTATTAACTGAAGCAGGCCTCGGAGGCTTCCCCATCAAGCCTTTCTTTCTTGGTGTAATCTGGTTGCTCTCAAGAGGGATTCTAAGGCTCTCAATGATGACTCTGGCAAGGTGTATTCTCCCCAGCAAAGCCAACCTGTCTACACTCAAGGATGTGACATGAGCTTCTTCTGTGTCAACATCTGGAAGAGCAAGTTGTCTGGTAGGAGAGCAGCTGCAGAGATAAAACTGAGAATCAAACACTCTTAACACAACTGTGTGAAGATAAAAACTGTAACTTGGTGGGATATTATTTATTACACTACTCACAGTCCATGAAAATGCACATTTTTGACATACATTTCACAATTAATTTGGTGGTCTCTGTAACAGGAATCATACCATATGCAGTATCTAGGGTATAATACTACTTAAACCAAACACCAAAAATGAGCATGCTCCATGCTGCTGGAGTTTTGACAAATGCTTACACAGTTGAACTCTTCAAAAAGAAAAGGTTTATTTCATGTGACACACAGATAGGGCAGAAGAAATTGCTTGGGTATGTCACTGCTGCAGAGGAACAGAAACAAGACTGATTTAAAACCTCACTTGTGCTTTATTTCTCAGACTTGACTTGTCAATAGTTTTGTGCTGGTACCTCTGGAAATATAGATTTTACTTCTATGTAAAAAACAGAAGTATTTGGAAGAAAAAAATCAGAAATAACAACCTGGTGATGAATTAGGAAAAAAAAATCCAGCCTTAATACTGCTGGTATTGAACTAGTAAATCCTGATAACCAGATTTTTGAGGGACACTGTTACAATCACATATAACTGAGAAATTTATAATTCACTCTTGCTTACTGTAATTCTCCTGGTTATTTGCTAGAATTGAGAATCTTTATATGTGTGCATGTGAATTAGCAAAAAAAGAACCCTTACACTACTAGCTTTGTAAAATAGAATGTTTATTGTTTAAACAAAATGTGTGATAATATTCAATCTGAGTAATACACTCAGCATTAAAAAAATATCACTTCAAATCATCTCAGTTCCTCACCTGAATTACTGGAAAGTCAAAGAATTAGAGAAAAAAAAAACAACCTTTGGTCCCAGAAAATTGTGGGGTTTTATTGGTTCTGATGTGGAAAAAAAAAAAAACAAACAAAAAAACCCAAAAACAAAATAGAATGTAGTTTAGAGCAGGTCAGAACTGAAGAAATTTACATCCTATAGATATAGAAGAGAACACTGAGCAGTGAAGCAGACTGCTGATGTGAGCTCCATCCCTGTAAAGTGGATACATATTAAGTATATTGTGTGACAGAGCGGATAACAGAGCACTAACAGCTGCTTACAATAAGGAAGATGCTACTGAATGAGCTGCTGATGTAATTATTTACCTGGGTTTAATTTCTGTCACCTTCTGGTCCTGATCTGAGGCAGTGGAATCCTTTTGTGCATTCACAGCACCAGCTTTCTTCACCGTTTTTGTTTTGCTTACTTTTTTGGAAGGGTTAGCATCTTCATCACTGAGGAAATCACTTAAACTGGAATCCGATTTCTGAAACAGAGATAATCCACATGAAGTAAGAAGTTTGCTGTCACCATCAAGATTTATAGAAGTCATGATAAACTAAGAAGAAAAACCATAGCTTGTGGATTGCTTAACGTTAAATAATTCAAACTGTATATAGAAATGAAATCTTCACAGACTCATAGTTTCCAATCTGATGCTTGAATTTGTAGTCTTATTAATATTCCTTTCCTATTATTAATGTCAAGCAATGTTCTCACAAGCTTCTACAGGATACTTAATCTTTATTAAGCCTTTACTAATTCTGAAATCTATAGCTTTTTTATTCCACTTTAAGCACTTTCCTTCTGCTCTCCACTTACAGGTGTGGTGTAAAAAAGACTTTCTAGCAGGCTCTGGTCATAGTGGGGATCATTGAGTTCACTGTCATACACCTCACTCCCAATAGAGAGAGAATCCAGAAGGGAACCTGGCTGATCCCAGAAATGCACAGGAGATAAATCAGCACTGTGGACACAAGAGAAAGAAACATGACTTAGTGTTGTGATGCAATTTCTGCAGTCAATTTCATACGAATTCTGACAACACTTCCTATTCTACACTGATTTTATGCTAAATTGTCTCTGCATACAGCTTACTGTGCCCACCTGACAGTCCTTGCACTGCATAGTCCTGATTGGAAGAGAGTTAAGCATCAGTTAAACTCTCGCTACTCTTCACAAAATGAGAGAAAGACCAACTTAATATTTGGAGAATGATTAAAATTAACTACAGGTTCTCTCTTTTTAATTTACAGACAGCAAGCTCTTCACAGAAACAATGTATCTGTTTTATGTATATCTCAATATTTTAGGACACAACAGCTACAAGTATTACTACTATTATTGGATGCCTCATCCTTGGAGGCATTCAAGGCCAGGCTGGATGTGGGTCTGGGCAGCCTGGTTGGTGACCCTGCACACAGCAGGGGTTAGGAACTGGATAAGCATTGTGGTCCTTTGCAACCCAGGCCATTCTATCATTCTATGATTAAATAACTTAATCTTTTGAAATATTGGGGTCTAACTTTCTGATAACAACTTCAGGCCAAATGACTTGGAACCATGCAGGTTGTCATATATTAGTTGTGCAAGCAGACACATGAAGCACCTCCTGTCACCACTAACTCTCATTATTCACATTTCCAGAAATATGGAAAACATGAAAGGTCAAAAAGCATTTTTCAGTATAAAGTGGGCAAATATTATTTGCCCTTTCAACTCTTGGAAAGGGTAAATAACAGCAGGATAAGGGGAAATGGTTTGAAGTTGAAGGAGGGCAGGTTGAGGTTAGATGTCAGGGGGAAGTTCTTTAGAGAGAGAGTGGTGAGGTGCTGGAACAGCTGCCCAGAGAGGCTGTGGATTCCCCGTCCATCCCTGGAGGTGTTCAAGGATGGGGCCCTGGGCAGCCTGGGCTGCTCTGAAATGTGGAGGTTGGTGGCCCTGCGTGTGGTGGGGGGTTGGAGCTTCATGATCCTTGAGGTCCCTTCCAACCCAGACCATTCTATGATTCTGTGATAAGGACAATATTTGCAGTGACACTCAGTAATCACTCACCTGCCCAAAAGTAACTGTATTGCTCTCTCCTCCGAATTGAGGTCTAATTGCTGACCTGTGACTTCAGATGTAAAGAGATGGGGGTCCTCATGAGCAGGCATAGAACTTGAGTTCAAGCCTTTTGGGCTCCTGAACAAAGGAAAAATAAAGGTATTAAGCTTTTCTGGCATGCTGAAGATTTCAGTCACATAAAGCGTAAAAATGTGAGGTCATGTACAGCCTTCACTGATTTGCAGCCTAACCTCCAGGTACACAAAACCTTTCTGCAGCCCTGCAGTCTGCTGCAAGGCACATTGCTCATCCACAGCTCTTATCCTTTGCAGAGTGGCAGGATGGCCCAATTGCTCAAGCAAGAGAGAGGACTTGAGAAGGTCAAGTAAAGATGTTTATGAATGATGATCAATGAGATTGTCCTGGAGAGTTAAAAAAATCATCTACTTTTAAACAAATTGGAACAGTTTGAGGAAAAGCAGTGGGACTGATCTCCCAGCCAGTGAGTTCTTTAAGGCACAGTGGATGTAAACTCATGTAACCTTTCTGATCAATTCATTCATCACAGAGAAAGCACAACTGCACATTTGTGCTTCAAAAGATTAAATGAGAACCAGCAATGATTTGTATATGTTAGTGATCTTTTCCAAAATGACTTTTAATGCAGTGCCCAATCTAGGGAAGAAAAGGCAATATGAAAAACACAATAAAGTGGAGAGAAACATACTCTATATTTTCATTTCCACTGTATTTCTTTACTTAAATAAACAAAACATTAACATTAAAATGTTTTTTTGTTTTTTTAAATGTGAACACAATATCACTACAGTTTACATACAAACAATTCTAACTGAATTAGAAACAGCAACACTGACTACCAAAGATGATGACTGCGTTTTATGGTTTATAGTGGAACAAAAAGCAATCGTTCATCTCATTCCAAAAACAAGAACTTAAAGTTCCCCTTGCAAAAATGTGCATTTGTCTTCCTACTTCCAAATCCCACTTTCACTGAATGGAGAAAATGTATTAAGTCTACAACAAAATGAGATACTGGAGCTGGAAGATGAAAAGGCACGCTCATTTTTACCAACCTGCTAGTGAAAATCAGATGGAAAACCATAATGACTACTAATTCTGAGAACATAGCTATAGACACAAGTTTTTGTTGTACTTTGTCAGCAAGGGATGCAAACTAGAATATGCAGAAGTACTCACTTTATGTCACTGATTACTTATTTTGCTTTGAAAGCCTTTTATCTGGGATCAAGTAACATCAGTCTGCCATGCCCCTTCTATACCTCACCAAAATTTGAAATTCCACTATCAAATAGTTCTGTACTACACACAAAAATGGCTCTGAACAGAATTAGAATTGGTCATTTAAATCAAAGATCAGATCAATCTACAAAATGGAGGTCTTTATTCACAAAGAGAAATCTATTTCCCATTTGACTGAGAATCCTAAAATACACCACATGAATCGCAGTATTTCAAGTTTTCCTGATAAGGCCTCAAAATCATAGAACCATAGAATGGCTTGGGTTGGAAGGGACTTCAAGGATCATGAAGTTCCAACCCCCTGCTGCAGGCAGGGCCACCAACCTCCAGACCAGGCTGCCCAGCTCCCTCAGCCTGTCTTTGTAGGGGAGGTGCTGCAGCCCTCTGTCATCTTCGTGGCCACCTCTGGACCCTCTCCAACAGCCCTCTATCTTTACTGTACTGAGAGCACCAGACCTGGACACAGTACTGCAGATGGGGCCTCACAAGAGCAGAGCACAAAGGGACAATCCCCTCCCTGTCCCTGCTGGCCACCCCTCTTCTGATGGAGCCCAGGATATCATTTGCTTTCCGAGCTACAAGACTACACTGCTGGCTCATGTTGAGTTTTTCACCCACCAGGACTCCCAGGTCCTTTTCTTAGGACTGCTCCTTCCAGTCTGTATAAATGCCTGGGATTCCTCCGACTCTAAAATCTATGATTTGAAACTAAATCTCACTTCTCCCTTTCTGAGCTTACTTTGTTGCTGCTCTGAAACCATCTGGCTTTACAAAAGGAGGCACTTCATTCAGTTCAATCTCCATGTCTGGGCTAGACTTCATCGCAGAAGCAACCATGGCATCACGGAGTTTATTGCCCTGATCCAAAAGAGCTAGGAAATAAGCAGAATTAACTCTCAGTATTCAAATACAATTTAAAATCAAAACATGCTGGCTACAGTCATAAAACTTCTATTTTACACTATTATAAGGAGATCTTGACACATTAGAGATTAAGTGCATGCTGTACATTATTACAATGGTAGGGCTGCCAGGAATGCCAGCAATCCTCTATCAGTTTCCCACTCTCAGTAGTACAAAGAACTCATTTACACACACCCAGTCAGGCATAAGAAGGCTGTTATTAAGATATGGTAGCAAGACTAAAAGTAGCTTGTCATCTTAGCATGCCTCAGCAGCAGTCTCATTTAAAGTCTTTTCAGTAAATATTAATCTATAGAGAGAAAATGGAAATGTGTCCTACTTGTCTCTTTTCTCTGATACCTAAAATATGATGCTAACTGCATACCAACCTGAAAGCAGGTCTTTTGTAGTTGGGTTGTGCAAAGAGAACACGTGTGTGTTTGTTCTAAGGGGAGCTTCAGGATCAGCACTGCTGGGAAACGACACCGACTGCTGACTCGAAGGATTCACTTTCAAATGTTCATCTGGTAAAATGAGGTGGTGGTGGGAAACATCCTTTATGTTTTCAGAGTCCTCTTGAAAGAACAAATGGTCCTTTTCCCAACTGCAAAACAAAACTCTGAGTAACAACTGAAGTGGTTCAGCAAAGGGATTCAAACCTCTTCAAATTCTCTCTAGCATTGCAGCTGCTTCCTTTCTATACACGTTTCCAAAATGAAATGACACATCTTAATGTACCAACTCCTCATCTCCTACCATCAGACAGACTGACTAAAGCTGTAAAAAAGAGACTTGTGGCATCTCTAATGTCAACTAGCATGGCATGAATTGCATTAATGTACAATGCAATTTTGTTGCATATGAGAAACAGACCCTTCAAGCTCTTAAACACTGAACCTTCTGGAGTTGATAATATGCACAGCCAAAAAAAAGCAAGCAGTCCACGATTCACAACTGTATTAAAAAGGTGTGAAATGCTAAATGAGCCAGAATTTTGCCAAGGTGAAGAAAAGATACCTGGGAGTTGTGACCCTGCTTTTGTTAACAGCCTCTTGGCCAGGAGCAGTGACCTGCACTCGCTGAGATGGAGCAGGAGCCATATCTGAACTTGCATCTGTGGTTGGGACAGAGCTGCTGTTTTTGTATGTGTCTGATAGAGGTTCAAGAACAAGTGAAACCTGAAAAATACAATGAGAAAAGAGAATTGGGTCCCTTTCTTAGTGAAGTGTTGCATGTGCTCTAACTTTACTTTTCATACTACAGAAAGCTCTCACTATTTTTTTAATAATAGGAAGCGATGTTTATATCAATCAGACACATAACACCTTAATATCCTAAAGGGAGCCTATAAACAGGAGGGGAGTCGACTCTTGGAAAGGGGAGATAACAGCAGGACAAGGGGAAATGGTTTGAAGTTGAGTGAGGGAAGATTGAGGTTGGATGTCAGGGGGAAGTTCTTGACAGAGAGAGTGGTGAGGTACTGGAACAGCTGCCCAGAGAGGCTGTGGATGCCCCGTCCATCCCTGGAGGTGTTCAAGGCCAGGTTGGATGGGGCCCTGGGCAGCCTGGGCTGCTATGAAATGTGGAGGTTGGTGGCCCTGCCTGTGGTGGGGGGTTGGAGCTTCATGATCCTTGAAGTTCCTTCCAACCTGGGCCTTCTATGATTCTATGATTTCAAAATATTAATTTCACATCCCATGTTTCCAAATTGCAACTGCTTATCTTTCAGCAAAAATAAAGCCCCAGGGGTGCAGCACAAAACAGCCCCTTCTCCCTGGATTTCAAAATACTCTGCAATGTCAGCCCAGGAAGACTGTGAAGAAAAATCAGAATGGAGTATCCACTTCTAAAATCACTGTTAAAACTCACTGTGGAGTCTTACTTGACTTAAACTACCAGTGCCACTTATTCTTCTAAGGGAGACACTGCCAACACCATTAGTAATCAGAATCTGCACTTGTTTTGTATGTTGTTCAGCAACAAAGTCAGTGTAGGACATGACGCTGCAGCTGAGTTTTTTTCTTCTCTGAGAGCTTTGATTTCTCTCCTGAGAAATTCAATCTTTTCTTCGTTTTGATTTTGGATATTTTTCTCAAGCACTGTAAACAAGACTATGAAAATGTAGTTCTATTTTTGTGCATTCAGAAGCAAAAGAGGAGGCTTTGTTTTTTAATTTGAAGGACATACTTTAGTGAAGAAAACTTAAATGAACCATAATTGCATGAAAATGCTACACCAGATCTTCAGAATCCATCTACAAAATGGATGATAATGTGATAAGAACATCCCTGGATTTCCCTATTTTCTATCTAGACTTCTTACCTCAATCTGTAAACACCCTGAGATGAGAGAAAGGTCTGTAGGACACAGCACAACTGGATCCTCACATTATACTGCATTACAGCTTCATATGCAACAATAAAGAGCTAAGCCATAAGGAATACCTGTAGCTCTCCCAGTTTATCAGCTGTTGGTGAAACTATGGTGAAAAACCCACTGATGGGATGGCTGGGAGAGAGCTGGGACAATTCACTGATCTGCACTCTGCCAACTGGAAGACGGTCAGGTTTGGTCAGGACCTCCAGGACAAGCATGCCCATATCTGCAATAATTAGGAACAGCTACATTTCAGTGTGACACAACAAGGTTGCAGTTAAACACAGTTGAAACTTGTCTGGAGGTTAAAATAAAGCTGTATCATGATGTGAGATGAGGAGTTGAATCATTAAGGTTGGAAAAGACCTCTAAGACCCCCAAGTCCAACTGAAAACCATCCCCAACATGCCCAATGACCATATCCCCATGTGCTACATCTCCACGGTTCTAGAACATCTCAGAGCCCTGCTGGGCTGAGGACATCCTCTAGACATCAAGCTTCCTGTGCAAATGGAATTATAGAACCAGAGAACATCCCAAATTGGAAGGGACCCAAGGATCATAGAACCATTTGAGTTGGAAAAGATCTTTAAAGGCGATCTGGTCCCACGCCCCTGCAATAAGCAGGGTCACCCACAGCTCCATAAGGTGCTCAGAGCTCTGTGCAGCCTGATCTTGGGTGTTTGTGAGCAACTTCTGCCAGCACTTCACTACCCTTAGCGTAAACAATTTTTTCATTATATCCAATCTAAAGCTTTTCTCTCTTACTTTGAAACCATTTCTCCTTGTCCTATTGCAAAGGATTCCACTAAAGAGCCTGTTCCCTTCTTTCCTGTCGCTCCCCTTGAGATACTGACAGGCTGCTCCCAGCTCACCTCGCAGCCTTCCCTTCTCTTCTCCATCTGCACAGCCCCAGCTCTCAGCCTGTCCTCATAGGAGAGCTGTTTCATCCCCGGCATCATTTTTGTGGCCCTCTTCTGGATGCTCTCCAACAGCTCCACGTCTCTCCTGCAGTGAGGACTCCACATCTGGACGCAGTGCTCCAGGTGAGGCCTCACAGCACAGAGCAGAGGAGCAAGATCACCTCCCTCAACCTGCTGGCCATGCTGCTTTGGATGCAGCCTAGGATAGCATTACCTTCCCGGGATGCAAGGGCACATTGCTGGCTCATGTCAGGACAGGGAGGTGATTGTCCCTCTCTACTCTGCCCTCGTGAGGCCCCATCTGCAGTACTGTGTCCAGGTCTGGAGCCCCCAGTACAAGAAAGACAGAGAGCTGTTGGAGAGGGTCCAGAGGAGGCCACAAAGATGAACAGAGGGCTACAGCACCTCCCCTACAAAGATAGGCTGAGGGAGTTGGGCTTGTTCAGCCTGGAGAAGAGAAGGCTGCGGGATGATCTCATTGCAGCCTTCCAGGACCTAAAGGGAGCCTACAGACAGGAGGGGAGTCAACTCTTTGAAAGGGGAAATAACAGCAGGGGAAATGGTTTGAAGTTGAATGAGGGAAGACTGAGGTTGGATGTCAGGGGGAAGTTTTTGACAGAGAGAGTGGTGAGGTGCTGGAACCGCTGCCCAGAGAGGCTGTGGATGCCCCGTCCATCCCTGGAGGTGTTCAAGGCCAGGTTGGATGGGGCCCTGGGCAGCCTGGGCTGCTATGAAATGTGGAGGTTGGTGGCCCTGCGTGTGGTGGGGGGGTTGGAGCTTCATGATCCTTGAGGTCCCTTCAAACCCGGGCCATTCTGTGTGATTCTGTGATGTCCAGCTTGCTATTCACCAGTACCCTCAGGTCCTTTATGGCAAGGCCGCACTTCTTCTCTTCCCCAGCTTGCATTGATGCTGGAGGTTGCTTTCACCCAGGTTCAGATCATGCACTTGGCTTTGCTGAACCTCATGAGGTTCTCCCAGGCCCACTGCTCAAACCACAGACCATCCCAAGCTGGGAAGAACCCACAAGAATCATTGAGTCCAACCCCCAGCTCCACACAGCACCACTCAAACCCAAACCCTATAGCTCAGAGCAGTGTCCCAACACTCCCTGAGCTCTTGCAGCTCAGGGCTGTACCACTATCCTGGGGAGTCCATTTTATGGATAGAGCCTTTCCCAAATCCTCTCCTGTCACAGCTCCATGCCGTTCCCTCAGGCCCTGTTGCTGTCACCAGAGAGCACAGAATCACGCAGAATCACAGAATGGCCCGGGTTGGAAGGGACCTCAAGGATCATGAAGTTCCAACCCCCCGCCAAGGCAGGGCCACCAACCTCCACATTTCATAGCAGCCCAGGCTGCTCAGGGCCCCATCCAACCTGGCCTTGAACACTTCTAGGGACGGGGCAATCTGTTAAACGAAGGCAGGACCGCGGATAACTGTGGATGGAGAAGCCCTATTGCCCGTTCTCACCTGTGAGGTAGGCCGCGAGCTGCCGAGGCCCGCACCGCACGGCGTACCGGCTGCTGCCCGCCGCCTGTCCCGGCTTTGAGGTGGGGTGGAACACGGTACCGTCCGAGGTCTCACCCCACCACCTCAGGCGGACGAGGACGGCGGCGGAGGGCGCTTTGGAGGCCGTCCACACGATCCTGCCGACGGTGCAGCGGAGGACGCAGCGCGGAGGGCCCTCTACCAGCGGCGGCAGGCTGGTGGACGCGGGGATGTCACCGGGACCTGCGGAACGGAGCGATGTCAGAGAACAGAACGGGGCTGCAGCGCTCTGCCAGCCTTCCCCCTCCCCTAACCCCGCACCTCGACGCCGCCTGTTGACCCCCGGGGCTGCGGCCGGGGCCCGCGGCCTCCTCTGCTGCATGGTTTCACCTCAGCGCTTCCCTCAGGCCGCGCTGCTGCCCGGCAACAGCCGCCCCGGCGGGAGCATCTCCCGCCTTCACCGCACTTCCGGGACTACAACTCCCATCATGCACCGCGCTCTCATTGAATCCCATAGAGGCCCGGACTACGTTTCCCAAAAAGCCTCGGGGCGCCTCCCTTCCCGTGGTGCCGCGCGGCGGCGCTGTGTGGAGAGAGGCGCTTCCTGTGGGGCGGAGCGGAGCGGAGCGGGGTTGGTGGTGGCCCGGGCGTTCGGTGAGGGCCGGTGCGGAGCTTTGCGTCGTATTCATCGTTATGTCGGCTCTGGAGAAGCAGCTGCACCTGGGTCGGCTTCCGACGAGGCCTCCTTTGCCTGGTGGTGGTGGTCAGTCCGGCTCCAAGATGCGCATGGGGTAGGTGAGGGAGGGGGGCGGTGGGGGTCTGAGGGGAGAGGGTGAGGCCTTCGTCATTAGGGAGGGTTGG